CATTATGTAGTGTCTTTCTTTGTCTCTTTTCACATCCTTTATTTGAAAGTCTATTTTATCTGATATGAGTATTGCGACTCCTGCTTTCTTTTGGTCTCCGTTTGCATGAAATATTTTTTTCCAGCCCTTCACTTTTAGTCTGTATGTGTCTCTTGTTTTGAGGTGGGTTTCTTGTAGACAGCATATATAGGGGTCTTGTTTTAGTATCCATTCAGCCAATCTTTGTCTTTTGGTTGGGGCATTCAACCCATTTACATTTAAGGTAATTATTGATAGGTGTGGTCCCGTTGCCATTTACTTTGTTGTTTTGGGTTCACGTTTATACAACCTTTCTGCATTTCCTGTCTAGAGAAGATCCTTTAGCATTTGTTGAAGAGCTGGTCTGGTGGTGCTGAATTCTCTCAGCTTTTGCTTGTCTGTAAAGCTTTTGAGTTCTCCTTCATATCTGAATGAGATCCTTGCTGGGTACAGTAATCTGGGTTGTAGGTTATTCTCTTTCATTACTTTAAGTATGTCCTGCCATTCCCTTTTGGCCTGGAAGGTTTCTATTGATAGATCAGCAGTTATCCTTATGGGAATCCCTTTGTGTGTTATTTGTTGTTTCTCCCTTGCTGCTTTTAATATTTGTTCTTTGTGTTTGATCTTTGTTAATTTGATTAATATGTATCTTGGGTGTTTTCGCCTTGGGTTTATCCTGTTTGGGACTCTCTGCGTTTCTTGGACTTGGGTGGCTATTTCCTTCCCCATTTTAGGGTTTCAGCTATTATCTCCACGAGTATTTTCTCATGGCCTTTCTTTTTGTCTTCTTCTTCTGGGACTCCTATGATTCAAATGTTGGGGCGTTTCACGTTGTCCCAGAGGTCCCTGAGGTTGTCCTAATTTCTTTTGATTCTTTTCTCTTTTTTCCTCTCTGCTTCATTTATTTCCACCATTTTATCTTCTACCTCACTTATCGTATCTTCTGTCTCCGTTATTCTACTCTTGGTTCCCTCCAGAGTGTTTTTTATCTCATTTATTGCATTATTCATTTTTAATTGACTTTTTTATTTCTTCTAGGTCTTTATTAAACATTTCTTGCATCTTTTCAATCTTTGTCTCCAGGCTATTTATCTGTAACTCCATATTGTTTTCAAGATTTTGGATCATTTTTATTATCATTATTCTAAATTCTTTTTCAGGTAGATTCCCTATCTCCTCCTCTTTTGTTTGACTTGGTGGGCATTTTTCATGTTCCTTTACCTGTTGGGTATTTCTCTGCCTTTTCATCTTGTTTAGATTGCTGTGTCTGGAGTGGGCTTTCTGTATTCTGGAGATCTGTGGTTCCTTTTTATTGTGGATGTTTTACCCAGTGGGTGGGGTTGGACGATTGGCTTGTCAAGGTTTCCTGGTTAGGGAAGCTTGTGTCGGTGTTCTGGTGCATGGAACTTGATTTCTTCTCTCTGGAGTGCAATGAAGTGCCCAGTAATGACTTTTGAGATGGGTCTATGTGTTAGGTGTGACCTTGGGCAGACTGTATGTTGACATTCAGGGCTATGTTCCTGCATTGCTGGAGAATTTGCATGGTATGTCTTGCTCTAAAACTTACTGGCTCTTGGGTGGTGGTTGGTTTCAGTGTAGGTATGGAGGCTTTTGGACAGTCTCTGATTACTTAAAGTTCCATGTAGTCAGGAGTTTTCTGGTGTTCTCAGGTTTTGGGCTTAAGTCTCCTGCCTCTGGATTTCAGTTTTATTCTTCTAGTAGTCTCAAGACTTCTTCAACTATACAGCACTGATAATAAGACTTCTAGGTTAATGGTAAAAAGATTCTCCCCCGTTAGGGACACCCAGAGAGGTTCACAGAGTTACATGAAGAAGAGGAGAGGGAGGAGGGAGACAGAGATGAGTAGGAGGAGAAAAGGGGGACTCAAGAGGAGAGAGACAGATCTACGCAGTTCTCTGTTCCCAGAGTGGTCTCCGTAGCCCAGACACCCACAAAGATTCACAGAATTGGATTGGGAAGAGAAGGGGAAAGGAGGAAATAGAGGTGTTCTGATGTAGAAAACAGAGAGTCAAGATTGGGAGAGAATAATCAACACACTCCTGAATAGAAATGGGAACTGAATATTGGATTCTTAAATGTCCACAATTTATATCATATACGGAAAAACAGATCAAAAATCTAGAGTAGAGGTTAGACTCTTAAAAATACTATATTAAAAACAAAAACAAAAACACACAAAAAAATTTTAGAAATATATGAAGTTTGGTTTAAAAATAGGGCTTCTCTTTTTTTGGGGGGGGGTAAGGGTATAGTGTAAAGAAAATGAAAATTAAGGAGTAGTAGAGGAGTAATAGAGGACTTTAAAAGGAAATAAGAGAAAAAGAAAAATAGAAGAGAAAAAAGAAAAAAAAGAAAAAAATTTTCCTAATTAAAAAAATCATAAAAATCTATGAAAATGAAAGTTAAGGAGTAATGGAGTAATAGGGAATTTTAAAAGAAAATAAAAGAGGAAAAAGAAAAAAGAAAAAAAAATTTTTTTTTTTTACTTAAAAAAAAAGTACAAATATATCTAGGAATTTCTCTGGAGCTGTTGCGGTCAGTGTGGGTTCGGTTCAGTTTCAGATAGCTCCTCGTTCCAGCTTACACTTCTCGATATCTACAGGCCCCTTCCGGTGTAGTCGGTGTTATCTACAGGGATTTTAATCTGTTGCACCAGTCCCTTCTGAAGTGGTTCCCTTTGTTTGTTTGGCTTCTGTTTGCTGGTCTCTTCAGTGCCTAATTTCCGCCCTGACACAGGCGGGCAGAGGTGGTCTCTTGTTCAGGTTGCTAGTTCCGTCGCGCTGCGGGGAGGGACTGGCACTGCTTTCCCCGCCTACACTGCTCAGGCTCCTGGCTGTTCTACATGGAGCGTGCCCTGCGCTGCGCGCGGTTCCAGCCCTCGGGTGTTCCACAAAAGTGCGGAACAAAAAACTGCGCCTGCTTTTTGTGCCTTCCCTGTCAGAGCGGCTCAGGCAGCCAGGAGCTTGACGGGCGCACTCTCCCCGGGCGCGGCGCGCCTTCTGCCCTCCGCGTCCCCAGCCCCCGTCCCCGCCTGCTCCGGTCAGGTGTCTGCGCCCTGTGTCTCGCTGCGACCCTCCCGGCGGGTGTCGACCATCCAGAATCTCAGGAGGTCTTTGATTAGAAACTGGAGGCCTGTTTGAAGTGCGGTAGGGGCTGCGGTCCTTGGGGCCGAGTCTGCCCCTTTCCCCTTTCCCCTCCCCCCTGCCTCCAGTCTCCGGCGGGGCTGGGCCGGTCTGTAGCCTGCGAGCTCTTCTCTGGATTTGCTTGGTCCCTTTGTTCTGCGAATGGCCGGCAGTGTGTTAGGGCTGGTTAATTTTCTCTCTCTCTTTTGCTGTCCCACAGTTTAAGTTGGTAACTCACAAAAGCTTCCTCCGATTGTCCTCAGGGCACTCAGGCCCGGTCCTTACCCTAAGCAATGCCGCCCGCTCCTCTCCGTTCCGCCCCCACTTGCTGGTGGCGGATGCGGGTGTCTGGGGTACTTTTCTGCTGGGAGTTGCTTTTAGGCACGTAATCTGTGGGTTTTATTTATTGTTCCCCTCCCAGTCAGGTTGCCCTCCGAGATTCAAAAACTTCCCCCAGACCCGCCAGTGTGAGGGTTTCCTGGTGTTTGGAAACTTCCTCTATTAAGACTCCCTTCCTGGGAGGATCTCCGTCCTTAGCTCTTTTGTCTCTCTTTTTATTTTTTATATTTTGTCCTAACTCCTTTCGAAGACAATGGGTTGGTTTTCTGGGTGCCTGATGACCTCAGCTAGTGATCAGAAGTTGTTTTGTGAAGTTTGCTCTGCGTTCAGTTATTCTTTTGATGAATTTGTAGGAGAGAAAGTGGTCTCCCCGTCCTATTCCTCCGCCATCTTGGCTCCTCCCCCCGCGCCTTGTCAGAATTCTTGAAGGTGCCACTCAGGGTTTCTTTTTGCCCCTTCTCATACAGGATGACATCATGAAAGAAACATTCAGTCCCACTTGTCTCACAGCTGCTCTTCTTCTAGCTTATTTTTAGTCTTTTCTCGTGCAAGTGCTATTCTGTCCTAGACACAATATTTAAATCTCCAAATTTCTTATGCATTTGCATTAACTTCTCAGGAATCAACCACTGTCTTCCTGTTTTTCTGGTCCTGTTCCCCTCCACATTTCCATCAGTGTCTTCCACTACTCAGACAGATTCCCCCTTAGCACTCTTTCTTAGGTCAAACTTATACTATCTCCCAACAAATTATTAAGTTGTTAAAGGAAGGGATCCTTTGTGCTAGGCTCTATGTCAAGTACTAAAGACACAAAGATGAATGAGTCAAAGCCTTTGTCCTCAAAGAGCTTATGGTCCAACAGAACAGACAGGCACATAAAATGATTTTGATATAATGTGATAAATGTATGCAGAAGGTGCTAAAGGAGCATTTAGTCAGGACTGGGGTTTCCTGGAGAAGACCCTAAGGTTGAAAAAGTGTGAGAAGATCATTCAAGTCAGAGAAGCCTACACTGTATCCTTGGGAGTAACAAACACAGCATCATCTCAAATGGGTTGATTCTCAAGAAATACCTGTCAGAACAAAAAACAGAGCAAGTCCTTCTCTCCCTACTCCAACTCTGAGCATTTGCCAACATAGTCTCTTCATTCCTTTTCTAAAAAATGTCATCAATCGAGTTTGAAAAACATACTGCCAGACTTAAGCCCTGGTTCTTTCTGTAATATCCCTTTTCCTATTTATCACCTTTGAAGTTTAATACCTTGAAACACAGAAAAGAACTATGTTAAGTAAGTCAAGATAGTTCTCTCATTGATCTATACTTTTTTTCCATCATACTCATTTGAGAGATAATCCAATTCCAAGGCAAAACAGTATCTCTAGTTCTAACTCATGGAAGAAGTTCCAACCTGCCATGTTGTTTTAATAATTTCATAACTTTTATCTGCTTTAATAAATTTTACATGGCTTCTTCTATATATGATTCAAAATGTTTTATAGAACATGGGAAGGTTAAAGTTCATTCAATAATGGAGGGCCTGAAGAAGATTAAACGTGAGTAAAAATTTTTTATTAATAGTTGAGAACCTGATGCTATGCATTTATTTTTATGTGTTTTCTTGGTTATAAAACTAATACATAATATGTATAATGTGGCTGATTCATGCTGAGGTTTGACAGAAAACAACAAAATTCTGTAAAGCAATTATTCTTCAATTAAAAATAAATAAATTTAAAAAAATTAATACATAGAATAGAAAATTTCTATATTCACAAAATGAAAGAATGAAAAATATTTGAATAATCCTTAATGCTTTCACTAATGATAATCTATAATCTCACCACTTTCCTTATACATACACAACTTTTGTGCATTTAGCTTTAAAGTCTCACTTTTAATGTACTTTCCCATTTTCTTATTAATATTAAAATCTTACCTATTGATGGGTATGTCTAATGGCCTAAAATTTCTTCTTGGATGCCTCTGAAATTTAATACATTATCTCAGTACTTTTAATTTTCAGGCCTTTTATCACATTTATGTCTAAAATAATTTTCCCAATGCCACAATACTATGTTCTATAGTTACATTTAAAAAATGAATGGAAAGTTTGAAAATTATACTGTGAAATTGGTCAGTAGAGGCAAGTAAAACTTGTCTTCTGCCCTCTTTTCCTCACACACACACAACCTCAGCCTGTACTTGATTATTAAGTAATTTTAATTTGCTCTCTGCACCAGCATTTTTCAATGAGTATGATTTTAAAAAATTGAATTTTCTCTGAAAAACTGATTGTGTTTCAAAAAGAAGGATTGAAAAGTAATTAAGGTACTTTATGTAAGTATCTATAAAATGAATCTGAGAGAAAATAAATTTAAATTCTGGGTACCCACATTTAAACCTTCCAAGTGAGGGCTATTGTATTTTACTATTTGTGAAAGAAAAAAAAGCATCTCTTTGAATAAGCCCACTTTATCTCATCTATTTCTGCTTCTGTAGCTGGTGCCAGAAAACTTTCAGAAATGTCTACTTGGTAGCCTTTAACCGTGCACTGAAACTCATGCTGCTGAATTTAGGGATACTGGAAGCAGTACTCCATGGCCATGTATAAGATCAGAATTCATTAATAAGCATTTACTGAGTACCCAAGCACCTGTAAAAATGAAAGTTCAAAAATTAAAAAGAGACAAGCAAAGTTCCTGCTTTCAGCAAGGCTCAGTTTTTGAGTACACAGTATATGCTTAATAAGTGCTTATTGACTAATAGAGGTTCTAGTCTCCTGCTTTCAAATAATTAAACACTCACTAACCCAAGCAGTTGTATCACAGTTATTCTTGAGCTAACCCTCCCAATCGAGGCCACTCAGAAGAAACAGTTATGTGAGTTATAAATGAGCCACCCAAATCAGAATCAATTGTTTAAAAAAACATTTACAAAGCTGAGACAGCACAATTTTACAGTGGTGTCTGCTTACCTTTCCATCGCTCTTCTTCTTCCTCTTTCACATCTTTTTTTCTTTTTAAATTATAAATTTGTGATAACACATTTACAGGAGACTTGGAAAATACACAACAAAGTTACATATAGTTCCACTATATATTACAGTTATTTTTTAAGTAGATAAATTAAGATTTTTAGTTGGAGTTTCAATATCAAACTCTCAAAAATTGATAGAATGAAAAGACAGAAAAGTAGAAGGATATAGTAGACCTGAAAAACACTATCAACCAATTCAGCATAATTAAGATTTATACAGTTTTCACACAACAGCAGGATACAAATTCTTCTCAAGTTCCCATAGACTATAAACCAGGAGACACTGGAACATATCAATGGACATAAAACAAGGTGCAAAAACTTTCCGTTTCTTTTTCCCTATTTTTTTAACTTTTCCATATTTCTATTAATAAATTATTTTTCTTTCACTCATACTTCCCTGATTTTCCTAGTGGTGTTGCATTTTTGTTTTTTCCTTCCCTTCCAGACTCTATCAAACATACACATTTCACACGCTCACCCTGCTCACTCACTTGCTTTTGTCATTACAAAAGCCCCATTCCACTTGCTGTCACCAAAATATGTTTTATTCTGTGAAGTCTACAGTGCATTAAAGAAAATTTAGACATTTAAAAGTGTATTTCAATATTTTTAGAAATTTCAAACAGTAGTGTCTGTTCCACAAGCTCACCAAATAATATTCAATTTCCCCTTAAGTTTTCTGTATGAAAGTGAAAGTGTTAGTCATTCAGTCATGTCCAACTTTGCAACCCCATGGACTGTAGCCTGCCAGGCTCGTGTCTCCATGGAATTACCTAGGCAAGAATACTCAGTAGGTAGCCATTTCCTTTTCCAGGGGATCTTCCTGACCCAGGGATCAAACCCAGGTCTCCTGCACTGCAGGCAGATTCTTTACCATCTGAGCCACCAAGGAAGCCCAAGATTTCTGTATAGATATAGGTACTGAGGAAACAGATTTTATTTCTGAATACTGCATTGACTTTTTTGTGCATTCAAACATGTACTACTATGATTTAAGTTTTCACCCTCAAATTTCAGATGACTAGACAGTTACTTTTTAGACAATAACATTTTTCACATTAAAAATCTTTCCTGCTAATTCCTATTTTACATTGCTATTTTTCTAAGTCATAAAGGTAGATTTCAGTTACCTAGGCACAAACATAAAAATGACATGTCTACATGAACAGCTTCAAGATCTGCTAATATTTATGTCATTTGATAATGAACATTCAAAATTCCATTCTGACCTTCAGTGCACTGTGCTTGGGTTGTGGGGTTCTACGTGAGAATTTTTTAAATCACACTTATTAGGAATATAGAGAAACTTTACTATATACTTAGAAAAAAATAGAGTAGAAAAATAAAATCTGCTTCTTGTCAGGAACAGATATCTTCCAAGTCACATTCCCAGTCAGAGTTGTGGTGCTCCATGCAGTACCCAAGAATGGTATAAGATGTCTCTAAGCAAACTAATGTCTAGGCAGGGAGAAGAGCCTAAGAAGAATGAGAGAATGGGGTAGGGGAGAGGGGAGGGGAAAGAAATGATAAGCTTTTCTTAATTCTACAAATTATGTTTTTTGTGGCAACCTACTCCAGTATTCTTGCCTGGGAAATCCCATGGAACAGAGGAGCCTTGTGGTCTACAGTCCGTGGGGTCACAGAGTCAGACATGACTGAGTGACCAACACACACACACACACACATTAGTATTACTATCACCCCTCCCATAAAGAAAATATATCTATTTTATGTGTACTCCTTTCTGCATGATACATTACCCTGTACAACCTTCACAGCTTAAAGTTACCACAGAATTTTCCATGTTTCCATAACCTGCCTCTGTCTTTTCTTGGTATTATAACAGTACATTATTGACTTTATCTAGCCAAATTAGACCAAACCTAAGTAACTGAGCCCTTTTTTTCCTGAGAGTTAATCTCCTCACATTAAGAAAACCAAACCGCCCCATATTTTGAGAGGAAAAAGACTTGAATCAGTACTTTTAAGGTATTTAATGGTTATTTTTCTGGCCATAGGATGGAGTACACTGAGGGAAGGAGAGTCTATAGTTAATATTATGACATATTTTGTACCCACGCATTCCACAGAAGTATTCACTAGAAAGAAATATCTATATCATTAAAAGGTGTATATATTACTCAAGGGTTCATAACCAAAGCACTAATGAAAATGAAATGCGTAGCAGATCATTTCTCTTGAGTCAAAAACAGGTTTCCAAAGTTACTTCACTTCTTTACATCCTAAGAGATGATAAATGAATAGTCTTGACCTCAATGCTGACTCTATGATTCTTTCCAAAAAAACTTTGTTTTTGGAGTTTGATACATTAAAGCAGGAAAGAAAGCAATTTTAATTAAGATATATATCAGAAACAACTAACACTTTCTTCAGCTTCCCTCTCATCTAAGGAAAAATTAATATAAAATTACATCTTCCTATTCTACTTTTTGCTCACTTCAGAAATTTGTATAATTTTGACTCTGAATCTTGTCTTTAATCAAAAGGAATGGGGTCTCTACAGAAATTGATGAAAATCACAGATGATACCAAAGGTGAGTGAAACCTGATGGTATGAGGCAAAGGTATTATAATGATGAAGTTTAATATTTTGACATATTTCTTACTCCATGGTTATTTTTCTTAATTGTTTTGTCAATTACTACCTCTGTCTACTTGTTGAACACCGTTGTTTCCCCATTTGTTTTTCTGAGTTCCTTTGCCATTTTACTGGGTTGGTCTAAAAGTTCATTTGGGTTTTTCCATTACATCTTCAGGAAAAAACCCAAATGACTTTTTGGCCAACCCAATAGTACATGCCACAATGCATCTCCTATGATAGTAGGTATTTCATATTATTTTCTAACGGTTTCAACTCTGATGAACTGTTCTCATCTCTAATTACATTGTAACCTATGTGATGCAATTTACAGTACAGCTATGCAAAGCAGAGATTCCACTAAAGAAATTAGTTCAACTCATTGGGCTTTGGCGTCCTACCTATAAATTGAAAAGAGTAAATTAGATGAATGATCTATCAGTCTCTTTCAGCTTTAAAATTCTAGGACTAACTTTTGTGGTTGACAGGTCTTCACTGTCAAGAGAGTGAGAAAAACAACCCACAGAATAGGAGAAAATATTTGTAAATGATATATCTGATAAAGATCTAATATCTAAACACATAAAGAAACCTTGTTAGCTCAACCAGAAAAAGACTAATAACCCAATTTTAATAATGGGCAAAGTAAATTTCTATTTTGATAAATAGAAATTTGTCAAAAAATATATAAAAATGACTAGTAAGCACATAAAAAGATGTTTAACATCATTAGTCTTTAGAGAAATGAAAATCAAAACCATGAGAGACTACTTTACATCCATTAGGATGATTATAACTTTTTAAAAGACAGTAACAAGTGTTGATAAGAATGTGGAAAAATTGGAATCCTCATGCATTGCTGATGGGAATGTAAAATGTTGCAGCTACTGTGTTAAACAGTTTTGCAGTCCTGAAAATGTGAAACCATATGACCAAGCAATTCCATTCTTAGCAATATGCCAAAGAGAACTGAAAACATATGTCCAAATATCCATCAAATCATGAATGGATAAGCAAAATGTGGCATACACATAAATGGAATATTAATCAACCATAAAAAGGAATGAAGTACTGATACATGCCACAGTATACATGCACTTTGAAAGCATTATACTAAGAAAAGAAGACAGACTCAAAAGGCCACACATTTCATAATGCTACTTATATATAGGTAAATGTCCAGAATAGGTCAATCTATGCAGTCAAAAGACAGATTAGTAGTTGCCAGGAGACAATCACTGTGGGAGGAGAGAATGGAGAGTGGTCGTTAGTGGGTACAGGGTTTCCTTTTGGCTGATGGAACTGCTCTGGAATTAGGTAGTGGTAATGGTTGCAGGGTTCACGTATTGCTGAAGCCTGGCTTGGAGAATTTTGAGCATTACTTTACTAGTGTGTGAGATGAGTGCAACTGTGCAGTAGTTTCCGCATTCTTTGGGATTGGAATGAAAACTGACCTTTTCCAGTCCTGTGGCCACTGCTGAGTTTTCCAAATTTGCTGGCATATTGAGTGCAGCACTTTCACAGCATCATCTTTCAGGATTTGAAAGAGCTCTACTGGAATTCCATCACCTCCACTAGCTTTGTTTGTAGTGATACTTCGTAAGGCCCACTTGACTTCACATTCCAGGATGTCTGGCTGTAGGTGAGTGATCACACCATCGTGATTATCTGGGTCGTGAAGATCTTTTTTGTACAGTTCTTCTGTGTATTCTTGCCACCTCTTCTGAATATCTTCTGCTTCTGTTAGGTCCATACCATTTCTGTCCTTAATTGAGCCCACTTTTGTGTGAAATGTTTCCTTGGTATCTCTAATTTTCTTGAAGAGATCTCTAGTCTTTCCCATTCTGTTGTTTTCCTCTATTTCTTTGCATTGATCACTGAGGAAGGCTTTCTTATATCTCCTAGCTATTCTTTGGAATTCTGCATTCAAATGGGAATATCTTTCCTTTTCTCCTTTGCTTTTTGCTTCTCTTCGTTTCGCAGCTATTTGTAAGTCCTCCTCAGACAACCATTTTGCCTTTCTGCATTTCTTTTCCACGGGGATGGTCTTGATCCCTGTCTCCTGTACAATGTCAAGAACCTCCGCCCATAGTTCATCAGGCACTCTGTCTATCAGATCTAGTCCCTTAAATCTATTTCTCACTTCCACTGTATAATCATAAGGGATTTGATTTAAGTCATACCTGAATGGTCTAGTGGTTTTCCCTGCTTTCTTCAATTTCAGTCTGAATTTGGCAATAAGGAATCATGATCTGAGCCACAGGCTTCAGCAATACCTGAAGCGTGAACTTCCAGATGTTCAAGTTGGTTTTAGAAAAGGCAGAGGAACCAGAGATCAAATTGCCAACATCTGCTGGATCATCAAAAAAGCAAGAGAATTCCAGAAAAACATCTATTTCTGCTTTATTGACTATGCCAAAGCCTTTGACTGTGTGGATCACAATAAACTGTGGAAAATTCTGAAAGAGATGGGAATACTAGACCACCTGACCTGCCTCTTGAGAAACATGTATGCAGGTCAGGAAGCAACAGTTAGAACTGGACATGGAACAACAGACTGGTTCCAAATAGGAAAAGGAGTAGGTCAAGATTGTATATTGTCACCCTGCTTATTTAACTTATATGCAGAGTACATCATGAGAAACGCTGGGCTGGAAGAAGCACAAGCTGGAATCAAGATTGCCGGGAGAAATATCAATAACCTCAGATATGCAGATGATACCACCCTTATGGCAGAAAGTGAAGAGGAACTAAAAAGCCTCTTGATGAAAGTGAAAGAGGAGAGTGAAAAAGTTAGCTTAAAGCTCAACATTCAGAAAACTAAGATCATGGCATCTAGTCCCATCACTTCATGGGAAATATATGGGGAAACAGTGGAAACATTGTCAGACTTTATTTTGGGGGGCTCCAAAATCACTGCAGATGGTGATTGCAGCCTTGAAATTAAAAGACGCTTACTCCTTGGAAGGAACGTTATGACCAACCTAGATAGCATATTAAAAAGCAGAAACATTACTTTGCCAACAAAGATCCATCTAGTCAAGGCTATGGTTTTTCTAGTGGTCATGCATGGATGTGAGAGTTGGACTGTGAAGAAAGCTGAGTGCTGAAAAATCGATGCTTTTGAACTGTGGTGTTGGAGAAGACTCTTGAGAGTCCCTTGGACTGCAAGGAGATCCAGACAGTCCATCTTAAAGGAGATCAGTCCTGGGTGTTCATTGGAAGGACTGATGCTGAAGCTGAAACTCCAATACTTTGGCCACCTCATGCGAAGAACTGACTCATTGGAAAAGACCCTGATGCTGGGAGAGGTTGGGGGCAGGAGGAGAAGGGGACGACAGAAGATGAGATGGCTGGATGGTATCACCAACTCAATGGACATGAGTTTGAGTAAACTCCAGGAGTTAGTGATGGACAGGGAGGCCTGGCGTGCTGCGATTCATGGGGTCGCAAAAAATCGGACACGACTGAGTGACTGGACTGAACTGAATTGAACTGAATGGTTGCACAACTTTGTAAATATACTAAAACCCACAAAATTGTACACTTTCAAAAGTGTGAATTTTATGGTATGTGAATTATAGTTTACTTTCTTTTGTAATTCCAGAAATGACCCAAAAACACATTTGCTAAAAAACAAAACAAAACAAAACCCACAAGTACTCAAAATCCATGCCTGTTTGCTTGTCAGGCTCCGTAAGTAGAAATAATAAACAATAGGCTGGCCCCAAACATAAGTCCTAACTCCAAAGCACCTTCCATCTATACTGTGCCTCAAGCTGTGGAACCCAGCTTGTGTCCTGGGACCATCAACCCTACAGATAAATATCATACCAGTCCTCCAGTTTTAAACTATGGAAGATACACCCACCAGTAAATTAAGCGAAATCAGCCCTTCATCCCATTTGGTTCTAAATAGATGACTATTGATGTAACTAAATTATAATACATGTCTACTCCCCAGAATGGTTTAGTTCCTTATGTATTCTGCCCTACTAATTTCAATGATTACTGTCACCACTATTCACTCACAGATTATAGAAACCTGAATTTGGATGAAACTGTCCTGCTTCCCTGTCAGCTACTTTAGGATAGGCATGCCATCTCTTTTTTTGTTTTTTGAGGTATGGGTGGTTTACAATATTATATTAGTTTCAAGTGCACAACACAATGAACCAAAATTTTATAGATTATAGTCCATTTATAGTTATTATAAAGTATTAGCTATATTCTCTGTATTATACAATGTATCCTTATTTATTTTATACATAGTAGTTTGTACCTCTTAATCCCCTACCCAGACATCCCATTTTATAAGTCTTTTTATTCTCTGTACCTGCAGTTAGCAGGTGTCTGCTAAAGCGATGAAGGGATGTGTGTATCCATTCACGTAACATCAGTAAGAGTCTAGCATGTGCCAAGTATTAGTCCAGGCGCTTGGGACAAAGCTCACTGCTCTCGTGGATCTTACTTTCTAGTGAAGAGATATACACAGTAAACAAATAGTAGTATGACCGAGATTACAGAGAAAATAAAGCAAAGAAAATGAGTGTACGAGATACTGTAAAAGGAGGAAGGTAATCAAGAAAGACCTCACTGACAAAGACCATTTAAGCAAAAAGCTAAGGAGATTGGGGGGCAGAAATCTGGAGCAAGAGCACTCCAAGCAGAAGGAAGAGTAAATGCAAAACTGCTCATGCAACAGCATGCTCGGAATACCTGAGAAAGAGCAAAGAGGCCATTGTGGCTGGAACAGAGTGAGCAAGGGCAATGTAGGAGGAGATGAGGTCTTGAAAGGAATGGGACCACCACATTCAGCCACATAGGTTATGCACTATACAGTTCCAGGATTGTGCAGTGAGATGTCCCTTGTTGGGGGAAAGGGGTGATACAGGTGTGGGCAGTAGCCCTGAAGGCTATTGTAAAGGTTCCATTTTTGTTAATACCCCGAGTAACACAGGAAACTGAGGACTTGAACAGAGACATCACATGATCTGACTTAGTTTTTAAAAGATTGTCCTGGTTCCTGTGTGTAGAACAAACTTGGCAGGGGTGGATGCAGCAAGAGCAGAAGCAGGGGGACCAGTTAGGAGGTCTTTGCAGTAATCCAGAGCAGGAAGTAGAGGTTGGGGTGGTAAGAGTGTTATAGTGATGAAAGCAGGGTCCTGAAGAGAGATGTGAACACCAGAGTGTCACAGGAACATTATTTATGACAACTGAAAGATGGAAGCAACCCAAATGTCCATCAACAGATAAATAAAAGTGTGATATAAGTGTGTGTGCATGCTAAGTCTCTTCAGTCATGTCCAACTCTTTGCAACCCTATAGACTGTAGCCCGCCAGGCTCATCTGTCCATGGGATTCTCCAAGCAGGAATACTGGAGTGGGTTGCCTTGTCCTCCTCCAGGGGATCTTCCCAACCAAAAGATCAAATCTGAGTCTCTTACGTCTCCTGCACTGGAGATGGTTTCTTTTCCACTAGCACTGCCTGGGAAGCCCCATAATGAAATATTATTCATCCTTAAAAGGAAGGAAGTTCCGATACATTGTACAACATAGATTACCTTGAGGATATTATGCTAAGTGAAATAAGCCAGTCACAAATACTATATGATTCCACTTGTGAGATTTCTAGAGTATCAAATTCATAGAAACAGAAAGTACAATGGTAGTCATTATCTTCATTTTAAATCTTTGTAGCCCCTGCGGGATATAAAATTAACACACAGAAATCCCTTGCATTCCTATACACTAACAATGAAAAACAGAAAGAGAAATTAAGGAAACAATACCATTCACCATTGCAACAAAAAGAATAAAATACTTAGGAGTATATCTACCTAAAGAAACAAAAGACCTATACATAGAAAACTATAAAACACTGATGAAAGAAATCAAAGAGGACACAAACAGATGGAGAAATATACCGTGTTCATGGATTGGAAGAATCAATATTGTCAAAATGGCTATTCTACTCAAATCAATCTACAGATTCAATGCAATCCCTATCAAGCTACCAACGGTATTTTTCACAGAACTAGAACAAATAATTTCACAATTTGTATGGAAATACAAAAAACCTCGAATAGCCAAAGTAATCTTGAGAAAGAAGAATGGAACTGGAGGAATCAACCTGCTTGACTTCAGACTCTACTACAAAGCCACAGTCATCAAGACAGTATGGTACTGGCACAAAGACAAATATAGATCAATGGAACAGAATAGAAAGCCCAGAGATAAATCCACGAACCTATGGTCACCTTATCTTCGACAAAGGAGGCAAGGATATACAATGGAAAAAAGACAACCTCTTTAACAAGTGGTGCTGGGAAAACTGGTCAACCACCTGTAAAAGAATGAAACTAGAACACTTTCTAACACCATACACAAAAATAAACTCAAAATGGATTAAAGATCTAAACGTAAGACCAGAAACTATAAAACTCCTAGAGGAGAACATAGGCAAAACACTCTCTGACATAAATCACAGCAGGATCCTCTGTGACCCACATCCCAGAATATTAGAAACAAAAGCAAAAATAAACAAATGGGACCTAATGAAACTTAAAAGCTTTTGCAAAACAAAGGAAACTACAAGCAAGGTGAAAAGACAGCCCTCAGATTGGGAGAAAATAATAGCAAATGAAGCAACAGACAAAGGATTAATCTCAAAAATATACAAGCAAGTCCTCCAGCTCAAATCCAGAAAAATAAATGACCCAAGCAAAAAATGGGCCCAAGAACTAAACAGACATTTCTCCAAGGAAGACATACAGATGGCAAAAAAACACATGAAAAGATGCTCAACATCACTCATTATCAGAGAAATGCAAATCAAAACCACAATGAGGTACCATTACACGCCAGTCAGGATGGCTGCTATCCAAAAGTCTATAAGCAATAAATGCTGGAGAGGGTGTGGAGAAAAGGGAACCCTCTTACACTGTTGGTGGGAATGCAAACTAGTACAGCCGCTATGGAGAACAGTGTGGAGATTTCTTAAAAAGCTGGAAATAGAACTGCCATATGACCCAGCAATCCCACTTCTGGGCATACACACCAAGGAAACCAGATCTGAAAGAGACACGTGCACCCCAATGTTCATCGCAGCACTGTTTATAATAGCCAGGACATAGAAGCAACCTAGATGCCCATCAGCAGACAAATGGATAAGGAAGCTGTGGTACATATACACCGTGGAATATTACTCAGCCATTAAAAAGAATTCATTTGAATCAGTTCTAATGAGATGGATGAAACTGGAGCCCATTATACAGAGTGAAGTAAGCCAGAAAGATAAAGACCATTACAGTATACTAACACATATATATGGAATTTAGAAAGATGGTAATGATAACCCTATATGCAAAACAGAAAAAGAGACACAGATGTACAGAACAGACTTTTGGACTCTGTGGGAGAAGGCGAGGGTGGGATGTTTCAAGAGAACAGCATCGAAACATGTATATTATCTAGGGTGAAACAGATCACCAGCCCAGGTTGGATGCGTGAGACAAGTGCTCGGACCTGGTGCACTAGGAAGACCCAGAGGGATCGGGTAGAGAGGGAGGTGGGAGGGGGGATCAGGATCCATGGCTAATTCATGTCAATGTATGACAAAAACCACTACAATATTGTAAAGTAATTAGCCTCCAACTAATAAAAATAAATGAAAAAAGAAAAATAAATAAATAAATAAATCTTTGTAGCCCCTAATATAGTAGGCCCTTGTTAAATATTTGTTTAATTTATAAATTGAACCTTGTCTTTCTTTCCCTCTGTATGCCTAGCCAGAATGAAAGGCAATGTACCAAGTTTGAAAAGACTAGGGAAAAGTCAAATTATGCACATAATAAGTGACTCCTCCAGAGCAGGAAAAGAAAATCTCTAGAATTGCAGCCAACAAGTGAAGCCTGAAACAACTTGAGGGGCTCAAGCTAAGCCTTTGCCAGAGGTATCTGTGCTTAGCCATTGTGAAAACTAGGGAAACTTCCAACTTCTCTGCTTAGATGATTTAAATGCCAAGACCTGTCAGATCTTGAATACTAAAGTTAAAACAAGTATAATACTTTCTTTAATCGCTCTTTTAAAATCACTCTTTTCAATAATACTATAGACTACAAATCTGTGAGAGTTTGATTTTGTCCTTCTTTCTGGATATAAACAATTAATGAAATGGTTCTTAATCAGAATTCAACCAAAGCAATTGGTTAAAATTTTTTACTTGAACAACTTTCAATTCACCAGTGTTTAGTGTGAAAATATGTTAATATAGAATTAAAAACAACAACAACTCCCCCTTCCCTGAAATCCCACCAGTGTCAAAATATTCTGACTCTGTTACATATCCACACATACCCTATGGGTGATGAATGAACCACATTGAATTGAAATCACAGTTACTCTAAAGCTGGAAGGAGCTTGAGGGTCATTCTCACCTGAGCCTGAGCCTGAGAAGTGAATGAGGTCACAGTTGTGTGATGGAACAAACCCTTTATTGGATTCTTGATCTGATTGAAGCCCAGAAGTTATAAGTAGCACCACTTAGAAGTAGGTAAATATCCATATTTTATAGGAATCTGTGAGGAGTCCTTTTTTTTAAAGTCTATCATCTCAGTGAGAGATTGAAGGTAGTTTTTTAAAGTAATGGTTATTTTGAGCCATGAGGATGATTTCACAGCACCTTTCAACTGCCTAAATTGTCAATCCTCTCCAGAGTTCCCAGCTCTGTGGTAGGTTTCTAGATTTTTGAGCACATGTAGTTGAGTTATTTAGAAACAACAGTTTTCCAGATAATGAGATAAAAACTTCAGAAAATTGAACTCTAACCAAACATTAGAGACTTTTTCTTCATGGTTTAATAATATATGGTAGTCTACTATTGCTAAGTCGGGACTCTATATTAAAAAGAGAAAAAGATCAACAATAAAAGGGGGAAACCCTACCAGCCCAGCTTCTGGTCCACAGGTCCTGATTTTTAAGCTATGTAGAAGTAGAAAGGAAGGACTAGGAAGGCCATAGTGGTTGAGAGTCCATTCAGGAGGCTCTAGGGTAGCAAAACAGTATTATATCCCACACCTATTCTTATTTTAATAAAGACCAATTGGTTCATAAGAACTGATTGGGCAGGGCTGGACCAGAAGGAACCTCTGGGAAAAGCTACTTACTATCAGGTAGCTATCCAAGACACAAATAAGTAACAAATTGCAAATGCTATAACATCTTGAGATGAAAAATAAAATTTTTCTTTAAATAATTTTTTCTAAATATTTCCAGGATGCTTTACCACTCATTTTTATATAGGATCAGAATAATACTAATATTTTCAGGGGGCTTCCCTAATAGCACAGATGGTAAAGAATCCACCTGCAATGCAGGAGACCCCGGTTTGATTCCTGGGTCAGGAAGATCCGCTGGAGAAGGGATAGGCTACCCACTCCAGTATTCTTGGGCTTCCCTTGTGGCTCAGCTGGTAAAGAATCCATCTGCAATGTGGAAGACCTGGGTTCAATCCCTTGGTTGGGAAGATCCCCTGGAGAAGGGAACGGCTACCCACTCCAGTATTCTGGCCTGGAGAATTCCATGGACTGTATAGTCCATGGGGTCACAAAGAGTCGGACACGACTGAACGACCTTCACTTCACTATGAAGGAGGAGCAATGGCAAGAAATTTTGCTTAGAGATTTTGGGATACTAAAGGGGCCTGTCCACATGGCCTTCCAACTCCCAACATTCACATATCTCTAACTTGCATTTGTACATATTATCATTCTTTGAGGCCCAGGACTTCAAACTCCAGGTCCTGAGCTGGGAAAGTTGTAAAAGTATATAAAGAAATTAATCTGTGATTTGATCCTTAATGGTATCTTCTGAATTCCAGACAGAGTTACTGGCCACATGGCAGTTTCTGAAACTAAAGCAAAATTTAAACTGAATCCTTTAACAAAAGTACCCAGCTTCCAAAGTAGGAGGTAAGTTATGAATTAAGATGATCTATATATTAAGATAAAGAATTATTAAGGTGGTGAATATACTAGATACATAAAGGCTATAATGAAACAAGTGAGAAACCTCCTCAGGGATCCATTCTGTGATAAAGTTAATTATAAAACAAAACATCTGAATTGAAGATAAATATTTTTTATGAAAAAAGATATATATATAGATATATATATATATCCTTTTGACTAGAGAAGCAAAGAGGGAGAATCCCTTAGTGGTACAGTGGTTAGGACTCAGTGCTCTCACTGCTGAGGGCCCCGGTTTGATCTCTGGTCAGGGAACTGAAATCCCACAAGTTGTGTGGTTCAGCAAAAAAAAAAAAAAAAGAAACAAGAGAGTTCTCCCAAACAAGAGGCTACTTTTGTGTGCCGGGACAGAATACTCCAGAGGGCTAGAGGTTGTCAGTTACACATTAAGACATATTAAGTATCAGTTTAAAGGAGAACGAATTTAGAGGATAATAAACTCCTAAGCGTCTGAATATAGAAAAAGAGTATGTAGCTCAAAAATGGCCAGTAAAATGGAATCTGGTAAATTAACTCTGACTAACCTTGGGCTAAAGTTGGGATGGGGACTTCCCTGATGGTCTACTGGTTAAGACTCCATGGGGGTTCAATCTCTGATCAGGGAACAAAGATCCCAAATGCCAAGTGGTTCAAAATATAAAAAATAAAGTGAAATTTTAAAAATAAAATTGGGAAGGGAGGTTTGCCTGTGACATTAACAATAGCTTTTTCTCAATCTGATAACTACAAATTCCAATAAACAGTAACCACTAATGACTGAAAGTAAAAGTCTGGTGCAAATTTTATCAGATCATAAGTCGAGAAGCCTCTCTCCTCTCTCACAATTATCCATTTTCCTTGTCGCTTTTAGAGTATTTCTCCTAATGTCCTTAACCATGCCTTTGCTACAGGAATGTATTACTAACTTTCTTTATTGGGACACGGGTAAGACGACCTTGTGTGTGTGTGTGCATGCACACATGCACACACACACACACACACACACAACACGTGCTCATTTGTGAACAACTCTTTGTGACTCCATGAACTGTAGTCTGGCTGTCCATGGAATTTTTCCAGGCAAGAGTAGGTTGCCATTTCCTTTTCCAGGTTATCTTCCCAACCCAGGGATTGAACCCGAGTCTCTTGAATCTCCTGCACTGGCAGTCAGGTTCTTTACCAGCTGAACCACCAGGGAAGCCCCCAAGACCTTACAGCAGCCAGATTCCTTGATCTCATTGTTCCCTTACCCTTCATTACAAACTGCCTTTTGAAGTGGTGACTTCCTTGTCACTGAAAGTAGTCAAGCAATGATTAGATAATATCACATGTAGAGGGAATTCCTACATGAGATGAGAAGCTATACTGGGTTCATTCCAAATCTAAAGTTTTTTGAACCTTTGAAACACTGTAAAATAAAATAATTTTTTGAGTAAAAAAAAAAAACCATTTCTCATCTTTGATCCAAGATAAGGTTTGGAATTCTGCCAAGAGTATGTTTTTTTTTATGTAAATAATAAAGACTTCATAGAACTATTCAACTTCAGCTTCGTCAGTGTTACTGGTCGGGGCATAGAATTGGATTACCATGATGATGAATGATTTGCCTTGGAAATGAACAGAGATCATTCTGTCGTTTTTGAGATTGCATCCAAGTACTGCATTTTGGACTCTTGTTGACTCTGATGGGTACTCCATTTCTTCTAAGGGATTCCTGCCCACAGTAGTAGATATAATGGTCTATATATCATTTGGCCTTGGAGTACAGAATGAAGCAGGGCAAAGGCTAATAGAGTTTTGCCAAGAGAACGCACTGGTTATAGCAAACACCCTCTCCCAACAGCACAAGAGAAGACTCTACACATGGACATCACCAGATGGTCAACACTGAAATCAGATTGATTATATTCTTTGCAGCCAAAGATGGAGAAGCTCTATACAGTCAGCAAAAACAAGACCAGGAGTTGACTGTGGCTCAGATCATGAACTTATTGCCAAATTCAGACTGAACTTGAAGAAAGTAGGGAAAACCACTAGACCATTCAGGTATGACCTAAATCAAATCCCTTATGACTATACAGTGGAAGTGAGAAATAGATTTAAGGGACTAGATCTGATAGACAGAGTGCCTGATGAACTATGGACAGAGGTTCATGACATTGTACAGGAGACAGGAATCAAGACCATCCCCAAGAAAAAAAAATGCAAAAAATCAAAATGGCTGTCTGAGGAGGCCTTACAAATAGCTGTGAAAAGAAGAGAAGTAAAAAGCAAAGGAGAAAAGGAAAGATATACCCATTTGAACACAGAGTTCCAAAGAATAGCAGGGAAATATAAGAAAGCCTTCCTCAGCTATCAGTGAAAAGAAATAGAGGAAAACAACAGAATAGGAAGGACTAGAGATCTCATCAAGAAAATTAGAGATACCAAGGAAACATTTCACACAAAAGTGGGCTCAATTAAGGACGGAAATGGTATGGACCTAACAAAAGCAGAAGATATTCAGAAGTGGTGGCAAGAATACACAGAAGAACTGTACAAAAAAGATCTTCACGACCCAGATAATCACGATGGTGTGATCACTCACCTACAGCCAGACATCCTGGAATGTGAAGTCAAGTGGGCCTTACGAAGTATCACTACAAACAAAGCTAGTGGAGGTGATGGAATTCCAGTAGAGCTCTTTCAAATCCTGAAAGATTGTGCTGTGAAAGTGCTGCACTCAATATGCCAGCAAATTTGGAAAACTCAGCAGTGGCCACAGGACTGGAAAAGGTCAGTTTTCATTCCAGTCCCAAAGAATGCGGAAACTACTGCACAGTTGCACTCATCTCACACACTAGTAAAGTAATGCTCAAAATTCTCCAAGTCAGGCTTCAGCAATACGTGAACTATGAACTTCCAAATGTTCAAGATTGTTTTAGAAACGGCAGAGGAACCAGAGATCAAATTGCCAACATCCACTGGATCATCGAAAAAGCAAGATAGTTGCAGAAAAACATCTATTTCTGCTTTATCAACTATGCCAAAGCCTTTGACTGTGTGAAGTGAAGTGAAGGGTAGTCGCTCAGTCGTGTCCGACTCTTTGTAACCCCGTGGATTGTAGCCTACCAGGCTCCTCCATCCATGGGATTCTCCAGGCAAGAATACTGGAGTGGGTTGCCATTTCCTTCTCCAGGGGATCTTCCGGACCCAGGGATCGAACCCAGGTCTCCCGCATTGGAGGCAGATGCTTTAACCTCTGAGCCACCAGGGAAGCCCCAAATCTGGTGGTGGTGGTCTAGTTGCTAAGTTGTGTTCAACTCTTGGGGTCCCATGGACTGTAGCCTGCCAGGCTCCTCTGTCCATGGGATTCTTCAGGCAAGAATACTGGAGTGGGTTGCCATTTCCTTCTCCAGAGGATCTTCCTGATCCAGGAATTGAACCCAGGTCTCCTGTATTGCAGGCAGATGATTTACCAACTGAGCTATGAGGGAAGCCCTTTTGACTGTGTGGATCACAATAAACTGTGGGATATTCTGAAAGAGATGGGAATACGAGACCACCTGACCTGCCGCTTGGGAAACCTATATGCAGGTCAGGAAGCAACAGTTAGAACTGGACATGGAACAACAGACTGGTTCCAAATAGGAAAAGGAGTACGTCTAGGTGGTATATTGTCACCCTGCTTATTTCACTTATATGCAGAGTACATCATGAGGAACACTGGGCTGGAAGAAGCACAAGCTGGAATCAAGATTGCTGGGAGAAATATCAATAACCTCAGATATGCAGATGACACCACCCTTATAGCAGAAAGTGAAGAACTAAAGAGCCTCTTGCTGAAGGTAAAAGAGGAGAGTGAAAAAGTTGGCATAAAGCTCAACATTCAGAAAACTAAGATCATGGCATCTGGTCCCATCACTTCATGGCAAACAGATGGGTAGACAGTGGAAACAGTGTAAGACTTTATTTTTTTGGGCTCCAAAATCACTGCAGGTGGTGACTGCAGCCATGAAATTAAAAGGCGTTTACTCCTTGGAAGGAAAGTTATGACCAACCTAGATAGCATATTAAAAAGCAGAGACATTACTTTGCCAACAAAGGTCTCTTCTAGTCAAGGCTATTGTTTTTCCAGTGGTCATGTATGGATGTGAGAGTTGGACTATAAAGAAAGCTGAGTGCTGAAGAATTAATGCTTTTCAACTGTGGTGTTGGAGAAGACTCTTAAGAGTCCCTTGGATGCAAGGAGATCCAACCAGTCCGTCCTAAAGGAGATCAGTCCTGGGTGTTCATTGTAAGGACTGATGTTGAAGCTGAAACTCCAATATTTTGGCCACTGATGCGAAGAGCTGACTCATTTGAAAAGACCCCAATGTTGGGAAAGATTGAAGGCAGAAGGAGAAGGGGACAACAGAGGATGAGATGGTTGGATGGCATCACTGACTCAATGGACATGAGTTTGGGTAAACTCCAGGAGTTGGTGATGGACAGGGAGGCCTGGCGTGCTGCGGTTCATGGGGTTGCAAAAGTTGGACATGACTGAGAAACTGAACTGAACTGAATTAAATAAAGACATGAGATGATTCCCTTAAGGAGGGCCTGACAACCTACTCCAGTGTTCTTGCCTGGAAAATTTCAACGACAGAGGAGCCTGGTGGCCCCCAATCCATGGGGTCACAAAGAGTCAGACACAACTGAGTGATGGAGCATAATAAGACTTGCATTGCCTGGCCTTATACTTTCCTCTTGCTTCTTGAGATCTTCATATTTCTCCATCTACTGCATCATTTATATCATGTGAAAATAATCTATTTATATTTAGAATTATAACAATGAATATAAAATAACCGGAGTAAAGGTATCAAGTCAGTAATAAAAAGCAAACACCAGAAGAAATCAATGTTAGCAAAAGCTGAGAAAATAATACTAATTAGATCAAATTCCATGTCAAAAATGTTTGAGACTGGTGCATTTTGAGACCTTATCACCTTCTTTTTTCCCAGGTCCCTCTTTAAAAATGAGCTGATGAATTAACTAGATACTGTATAGGATACTAAATTCATAAACCATAATTTTTTAATCTAACTTCCATGTTTATATTTCTTCCAGTTTTACTTTTTAAATTTATTATTGTAAAAGCACAAAAACTAAGAGATTACATATTTCTTAAAACCTTTAATTCTACTAGTATCAAAAGTAAATGTTGGGAGGGTATATATGTATACTTATGGTAGATTCACATAGTTGTTCAGCAGAGACTAACATAATGTTGTAAAGCAATTATCCTCCAATTAAAAACATATTTTTAAAAAACACAAAAAAAATTTTTAAACCAGATATATTTTAAATAAAATATATCCATAAAATTGTGTTTATTATACATTTATTATTAAGTGACCATAATATTAGTAATCCAATTTTGCATAATACATTTCTATGTTCCTAAAATAATAATACATCACTGCAGATATTTATAAAATATCCCCAAAGTATTAATCTTCTCCTTTTTTTCAGATCTTATTTTCTGAGGAAACAACAGGTCATCCAGGGTTCCAAACTTTTCAGAACTGTTCTCTCTTGATGAGAGATGTTAATAGATAGATCCAGTTGGCATGAGACACTGAGCAGCAGGGGGAGGTGGGAGATTGGCAGAAATCAATCTACTGCTATCTCCCCATGTGCTGGTAAAAATACAGTTTGGCAAAGTTGTAAAATATACATGAAAGCAAAAGTTTTGCTATAAGTATATTCATCATAAATAAGATTATTTAAACATTAAAAATTTGAAACAACTTCTATTTCTAACAATAGAAATCATGTAAGGCTTATATTCTTCAGCACTGGAGTCAAATAAACCTGGATTTTAATCCCAGGGCTTCCATTTTATTATCTTTCTGACTCAGGACAAGTTATTTAATCCCTCTGAGCCTCAGTTTCCTCTTGTAAAATGGAAGAAATCAAAAATTTTAAGGGGTTAGGGTGATGGGCAAGTCTAGGACAGAAGAGGACCTCCATGGCCAATATCACTGCCCATCCTGAGCTATTGGCAATTGACAATAACAGGGCCCTTAGGTAGTGTGACTTGATATATTTTGATAGTTACAGGCACTCCAGTCAGCAAAAACTGATGAACGAAACTAATATTTGCTGGTTTCAATACACATCTCTTTTCTCAGGGATAAAGATTTACCAGGACTTCTGCCATGTCAATTACAGCACAAAGAAAGGAAGTTGAGCCCTTCACAAATGCGAGGTAATGAGAACCATGCTCTAATTAGTATGAATCAACTAATTAGTATAAACATCTAATTAGTATAAACAACTGTGAAACAAGTTGTTTCATAGGGGTATATATGAACAATTCTAAAACTACTGTACATCTATACATAGGTTGAATATGTAAGTGACTGAATGGTAGATTGTGGGATCCAGGTTTCTCTCTGTTGGAGTGAGAGGTTTCAGATAAACAAGGGGAGAAGGCTAAAGTGAAACAGTGGAACTGGATTAGAGTTAGATGTCAGTATAAACTCATGTTTAGCTTAATATGGATGCAGATGGATAGATCAAGAAATAGAGATATGTGTATGTACATGGGTTAGTATATGTGCATATACTAGCTAGCTCTGCTTGCTGAGAAGGCAGAAGCACTGACACCCTCATAGACACAAGCATACCTAGCACCCAGATCTTGATTTCCAGTGTCAGTGTTCTGTCAAAGAACCAGAGTTCCTTGGACAAATGGCTGATTCGAGGGCTTGGATGGAGAATATACAAGATGAACATGGAATATCTTGCAGTGCCAGAAAGTTAGGAGATGCTCAAAATACAAAAGAACAGGAGCATGTCAAAGGGATACAGAAGGCAACCTTCAAGAGCTCACAGCAGCCAGAGCTGGAACAATTTGAACAATAAAAATGAATACTATTGGATTATAACTCAAAGCATAAAGAAAAATTGATGTCCCTAATGACAAAATAAATGATTGAGTTTTTTAAATCAAGAAGATACCAATCTCTCTTACAAAAGAAATCCAGTAATGTATTAAAAGGTACTACCTCTTCCAGGAGGTGGAGCTTAATTCCCTGCTCCCCTGGGCCCTCTCTGCCTTTAACCTGACTGCCCTTAGTCACTTCCTTCCAAAGAGGAGAATGTGAAAAAGAAGGGAAAGTCGTTTACACTGGAAAAGTCTGACAAGCATTACCTCATCAGTCATAAATCATGCTGATAGCCTTGACATAATGATGAGAACACCACTTCACTTCTGTGGTTTTCCTTCCCCAAACCCATAATCTCGGGCTAACCATGAGAAAAACAGCAGAAAAACCCAAATTGAAGAACTTCCACAAAACACCTGAATAACACTCCTCAAAACTGGCAAGAGTGTCAGGGAAAAAAAAAAAAAAAGGAAAGACTGATAAACTGTTAGAGAGAAGAGGCCAAAAAAACATGACAACTAAATGTAATAATGTAATGTGGGACAGGATCCTGGAACAGGAAAAGAGTGGAGGGAAGAACCAGTAAAATCCAAATAAGGTGTGCAGTTTAGTTACTAGTACTACACCAATGTTGGCTTCGTGATGTGACAAATGTACTATAGTAATGTTAGATGTTAATGATATAGGAATCTACAGGAACTCTCTGTGCTCTCTTTGCAACTACATCTAAAACCAATCTGAAATAAAATCAAAAATAAATTTTGAAACCTAACCCCACATAACATCACCTCTCTGACCTCTCCTACTCCTTTCCTCTAGCTCACTCTGCTCCAGGCACGCTAGCATCCTTGCTATTCCTGGAATGTGCTGGGCCCATTCCCCTAGGATCTTTGCTGCAGCTCTTCCCTCTGCCTGGCCCTCTCTTCCCTTCCTCCAGATACCCACTTTCTCACCTTTCAAGTCTTTGCTCAAATCTTACCTTTTAATACAAGCAACGTATCCTTCAATCCCTAGAGATCCCAAACCCCCGACCCTGTGTTACTTTTTCTTTTCCATAGCACTTACCACCTCCTAACATGCTCTCTGACTTACCTATTTATTACATTTGTATAAAGGCAGAATCTTTGTTTAGTGCACTAATGTATCCTAGGCACTTAGAGCAGCACCTGGCACATAGAAGGCATGTAGTAAGTATTTGTTGATTAAGCTTCATGAATGCCTACTACATGCCAGAAATACTGGGAGAAAAAAAAACAAAACAGGTCAGAGATAGTTCCAGCCCTTGAGAAGCCTGCCTTATATCAAAGGAAAAAGATGTTAATTTTTCACATAACTATAGAGCAGTAATTTCTATAGAATTAATCACTCTTGTACATAGAGGCACTAAAACTCAAATGTGATATGAAATCTTTTATTCTGGTGCCTCTTAGAGACTACCTTGTTCTGGATTGAGCCCTTCATTTACGAATTTTGGGCTTTCCTGGTGGTTCAGATGGTATAAAGTCAGCCAGCAAGGCTGGAGACCTGAGTTCGATCCCTAAGTTGGGAAGATCCCCTGAAGAGGGCAGTGGCAACCCCCTCCAGTATTCTTTTTTTTTTTTTTAACTTATTTTATTTTATTTTATTTTTCATTTATTTTTATTAGTTGGAGGCTAATTACTTTGCAATATTATAGTGGTTTTTGCCATACATTGACATGAATCAGCCATGGATTTTCATGTGCTCCCCATCCCGATCCCCCCTCCCGCCTCCCTCCCCATCCGATCCCTCTGGGTCTTCCCAGTGCACCAGCCCTGAGCACTTGTCTCATGCATCCAACCTGGGCTGGTGATCTCCAGTATTCTTGCCTGGAGAATTCCATGGACAGAGGAGCCTGGTGGGCTATAGTCCCTGGGGTTTCAAAGAGTCAACCAGGACTGAACTACTAACACTTTACTAATTTTAGAAAATGTATACCTAATTTTGACTCCAGTTAATGCCTTGAGTATTTCTTTGAAAAAACTTTGAGTCTGTACAGAACATTCAGACCTCACAGTTCTATGTAAGTCAGAAGTCAGATGGGCTCTCCTGGTTCCTCTTCCCTGGGGTCTTACAAGGCCAAAATGAAGGTGTTGGCCAGCCTGGCCTTTTATCTGGAGGCTCTGGAGGAGCATCCACATAGTGGCTTGTTCAGGTTTTTGGCAGAATGCAGTTCCTTGCAGTCATAGGGCTCAGGTCCCAACTTCCTTACTGACTGATACCCAGGAGTCTCTCTCGGTCCCTTAAGTCTGCCTGAATTCCACATCACCTTCCCTCTCTATCTTCAAACCAGCAACAACCTGTCAAATCCAGCTGCTTTGAATCTCTCACTTCTGCCACATCTCTCTTGCTTCATAAGGGATCCATTCAGATAATCTAGGAAATCTACCTTAATTACATCTGCAAAATCCCTTTTGTCATGTAAAGTAATCCATTCACAGGTTCCAGGAATTAGGGTTTGAACATTTTTCAAAAGCCATTTTTGCCTACATTTTGCTTTTCCACCAAGTAGTTTAATCTAGTTCAAATCTCATGGAAGGACACTGTCCTTTATAAGAAATGCCCATTAAGTACACATATTTCTGTAAATGCTTTTTCAGAACCTGACCTCCAATCAACAGTATTGTCTGTCCCAATTCCATCAGAATATGTGTTTATTCTTAAATAACTGTCCTAACTTAATTCTATTTCCCCAGCTTTCCAAGATGCCTACAATTTCTTTAACAAGGATAAAACTGGCTGTATTGATTTACATGGAATGATGTGCACTTTAGCTAAGCTGGGAATGAATCTAATGAAGCACGATGTCTATAATGAATTAAGATGTGCTGATATTGATCGTGAGTACTTTGACTTGCCATTTTTTATAAAGATTTTTATAAATACATTTTTTCTCAGACTATATAAACATGAGAAGTAAGCCTCATTTATTTGCCAAAAGTACATATATGTGTTTCTCTTTAAAGTTATCAGTGAGGTATGTGTACAAGTTATGAAATTGAATTAAAGCTACAAAATGGGCTAGTTTTTGAAAAGGCCTGTGTGGAAACCAAAAGTGACTGTTGTATTTAATATCAAATTCAGATTACCTGTCATAATATACATTTTGGAGAGTACCTTGAAATAACAGAAAGACATTGACAATTTCAAAAATAACCTGTTTCTGTTGCCCAAAAACTGGACTCGCCTCTTACTGGGTGTTGAGCCAAAAGACACAACCAAGCCTAAGAGCAGAAGAAGGGAGGATTCATTACTTGCAATAAGTAAGGAGAACACTGAGGATATTTCCCAAAGCAATTTCTCCCCAACTGCAACACTGGAGATGTTTTAAGCTAAGGTTGCATACCTATTCATTGAGGGGCTTGAGCAAAGGAGAATGCAGCATACAATTGGGGCAAAGGTCAAATAGAGCCCAGGCTGTAGTTGATGGAGGTCTTGATGGTCAGCAAAGGTTGGCATCTACCATCCTGAGGCTCTAGGTAGTCTGGTGGTTTAGAGCTCAAGGGGGTTTGGATCCTGGGAAACAGCTCAAGAATGTGCTTCGGGCTAATCTTTACCTTAGAAACTGAACTGGGAGTCTTTACAATTGATATATTATCTCCTGGTAATACCTGTTTGTTCTTACATTCTTCATTCCTTTAAAATAATTAACTATGTAACTCAGCTGGTAAAGAATTGCCTGCAATGCAGGAGACTTGGGTTCAATCCCTGGGTTGGGAAGAACCCCTGGAGAATGGAAAGGCTACCCACTCTGGTATTCTGGCCTGGAGAATTCCATGGACTGAATGGTCCATGGAGTCGCAAAGAATCAGACACGACTGAGTGACTTTCACTCACTTCACTAGAATATAGCATATTCTTCTACAAGGACAAGCACTGTGGCCAGATTTAGATGACAAAATGGCTTAGGCCTAAAGTGACTTCTCTTATGTCAAGATACTTAGGGCTAGTTTTCTTCTTCCCAGAATCCTCTACCATATCTGCCTGCATTACCAAGGATATCCAAGCCCTTTGTTTCTGTTTGAATCATAATGGTATAAATCTTCCTTCCATCACTAGAGCCACCTATATTGAATCTTAAATGCCACAGCACTTTTACTGATATTTTTTAAAGCATGTAAGTAGTGTTTTCTTTGAATAGTAGTGATTAGTAGCCCAAGCTAGTATGTTGTGTGGAATAAGTATTCAGCACAGCACCTTTTCCCACCACACCCCACTCACCGGCCAGTGTCCCAGTCAATCGGCAGCACTCTTGATGGGAGTCAGTCACCATTTAATTCAAGGGTCACTTGTTTCCACTAACTCTGCCCGAGTTTTTATCCTTTCACGGAAACACACTCCAATAGCACTTGTTATCCTTTAATTTTAGAGGAAAGGGGCACAATTCAGGGATAGCCTAATAATAAAATATAGAGGTGGATGTGAAATGGGAAGGTGAATATAGCCTTGTTCTGATCCTTGGATCTCTGTTGCAGAGGATGGGAAGGTGAACTTCTCAGACTTTTTAAAGGTGCTAACAGATAAGAACCGCTTCCTTAAGGCTGTGGGTAAGTATGTTGCTGAATAGATGGCAGTGGGGGTAGTTGCAATTCACTGCATAGTAAATAGTGTTCCTTTAGACCTCCAACCAGGAAGGTGTAGTCTGGGATGTGATTTACTTTTGTACTGCTCCTCTTAAAACAAATTTTGCTAAGGAAATTGATACAGTTTTAGAATTTTAACTTAAATCCATCAAGTCCTTCTGCAGGAGACACTACTGTTTGGACTTCAGTGAGAACAGTCAGGCAGTGGTGTAGAAAATTTTGGTCACCTTTTATATTTATATACCACTCTGGTATTCTTGCCTGGAGAATTCCATGGACAGAGGAGCCTGACAGGCTATGGTCCGTGGACTTGCAGAGATGGACACGACTGAGCAACCAACACTTTATATTACTTTAATTCTTTACCAAATGCATGTGCTACTTTGGGAGGTATTACTCTTACAAAAGAAAAATGTATACATATAGCACTCTAAATGTTTGGGCTTCCCCAGTGGCTTGGGCAGTAAAAAACCTTCCTGCAATACAGGAGACCTAGGTTCGATCCCTGAGTTGGGAAGACCCCCTAGAGGAGGAAATGGCAACCCACTGCAGTATTCTTGCCTGGAGAATTCCATGGACAAAGTAGCCATGGGCTACAGTCCATGGGCTAAGCAACCAACACTTTCACTTCATATATTTTTAGAAAAACGCCGTCTCTCTCATGCACATTTGTGTATAGATAATTCACTATTCCTGAAAAACTTCCTCACCCCAATAAACCTCTGCCCTCAGTGTGAGAGCAGGAGAGTCTGCTGGAGGTTCCAGAACATGTTCTCACATAAGGTTTAAGCAACTTGGAGATATACTCAAATTATTGCTATTAGTTCCCTAATGGTTTGTTTATGAGTTTAACAAGCTGCCTTGGAAAATCTGACCTTATTCATATCATGTTTTCCCGATAAATACATTCCAAATTCCAGATACTGTATACAGTTTTAAAAAAAAACATCCTTTCATAAGCTATGAACTATCTTAGTATAAACAGAAGTTACTGTTTCAAGTATCACTATAGTAACAAGGGTTTGCCTGCACACCAGAGTTATGTTTATTAACAGTTCCTTTTCATAGATGAACAGAATAGTCCTTAACACATAATTCATGTTTATGTTAAATGTATTACTACATTTACTTAGAAGTCACTGAACTAAAAGTATTTCATTTTAAATCCCATGATTATTTTGTCTGTTCAGTAATCAAAATGACCTTCCTGCCAAACAGAACAGACTATGAATGTTTGTTTATAATTCTTTAGTTTAACTTTGTTTTAATATTGTATATACAGTAAAATGACTATCACTTTAACACTTTTTATAATTTTTTTTCAGAAGGCATTTTGAATTTTTTTTTTCTCTCCATAGTTCCAGAAAAGGAGACCTGTTTAGATTTAGTTGGCAACCCAGGAATCCTGTTGTTTGAAATCCTATCAAAGCTTATAGAGACTTCAGCCTTACCCAAAAAGGCAATATCGGAAATAGTAAGGTAGGTGGTAAAGGAACAAAAATGACCTCAGCAACACTTAGGAGGATTCTGCAAGGCAACTGCCTCTCCCTGACATCCTAACATCGCCACAGATCTGCCCCAAAACAAGGAGAAGGTGTACAGGCAGCTAGCTGCTCATGTGCCACAACATGAGACCTCACAGCGCTGCCTAGTTCTGAAACTGCGAGGCTGATTCAGACCATCTTAGGACCCCACTGAGAGCCTAAGATAGCCCAGAAAGTTCAGCTTTGGAAGTTCCCTGGTGGCCTGGTGGTTAAGATTCCAGGCTTTCAGTGTGGTGACCCAGGTTCAATCCCTGATAAGGGAACTGAGATCCTGCAAGTCCAGCAACATGACCAAAAAAAAAAGTTCAGCCTCTCCTACTCTAGGCTAGAAAAGTGCAGAGGAATAAGACTGTTCTGGAATGATTTGGGGTGAGCTTGGAAACTGAGTTTGAATATAAGATACTCCCATTCACACTGGATCTCTCAGGAACTCTGATAGGTCCTTTGGGACAAAGTACAGCAATGTCATACCTCCTAAAGTAGTGTTTGGACTGGAGCAGAGCCAAAATTAGACTTAGAATAGGATAAGGAAACATTCTCACACCCCAATGTGTTTATTCCAGCAAATGTCACTGAAGATACATTTCCTCAATATAGTTCTATCATGGTATTGCAAAAATTAAATGTTGCCATTATCAGTCTTTTCAAAGCATTCTACTTTGAAAAGCATTATTCTTTCAAATCGTTCTACTATCCCACTTAAAGAGATTTAAAAATACAGAATACCACCAACAATGTAAAATATCCTCTGCTCAACACGTAATCTCTATATACTGTCCCACATCTTGATCAGATGTAGAACAGAGGGTGTGCAACATTCTACACGTCATTCCAAGTCAAATACATTTGTTAAATCCCTGATATTGGTACACAAATGTATCACATTCTTAACCACTCAGCCTCAGTTTCCTCACCTGTAGAATGAGAATAATAATACCTATAACACAATTATAGGGCAATTGTAAGGACATCTGGTAATGCAGGTACAGTGCTTAGCAAACATAAGACCTCAATGAATGTTAACTATTATCATTATGTGTCATGTATATGGGCTTCCCTGGTGGCTCAGAAGGTGAAGAGTCTACTGCAATGCAGAAGACCTGGGTTCAATACCTGTGTTGGGAAAATCCCCTGGAGAAGGCAATGGCTACCCACTCCAGTATTCTTGCCTGAATTCCATGGACAGAAGAGCCTGGCAGGCTACAGTTCGTGGAGTTACAAGAGTCGGACATGACTATGCGACTAACATTTTCACTTTCAACTATGTATATAAGCATAGAATATACATATTATCTATTTTAATCCTCACATACATGGCAACGAAGATCCCACATGCTGCAACTAAGACCCAGCACAGCCAAATTGAAAAAAAAGAAGAAGAGAATCAAGATAGTAAGGAATCGAGAAACCAAGGCCACAGAGAAATTCAACAGGATAGGTTTTACACCAGTATTATTTTTTGTTGTTGTTAGCAGTATTTGTATTTTTATTGTTTTTGTTTGTTACAATTGCTATTTGTAGAATAAAAGACTAATACATACCTGTTTTTTTAAGTATACAAAGTAAATGAAGTCATTCAATCATCCTAATCTCATATCTGAGAGATAAGCTACTGTTCACTATTAAACCTTCTTCCTTAATTTTTTTTTCATTCTATTTATTTTTTTAATGCGTATAAACAATTTTATTTTATTATTTTTATTTATTTATTTATTTTCTTTTCATTTATTTTTATTAGTTGGAGGCTAGTTACTTCACAACATTTCAGTGGGTTTTGTCATACCTTGACATGAATCAGCCATGGAGTTACATGTATTACCCATCCCGATCCCCCCTCCCACCTCCCTCTCCACCCGATCCCTGTGGGTCTTCCCAGTGCACCAGGCCCGAGCACTTGTCTCATGCATCCCACCTGGGCTGGTGATCTGTTTCACTATAGATAATATACATGCTGTTCTTTCGAAACATCCCACCCTCGCCTTCTCCCACAGAGTCCAAAAGTCTGTTTTGTACATCTGTTACACCAGTATTAAATACTAAAGTGAGGCCAGGTAAAATGAGGACTGAATGGATGGAATTAGCTTTGGTAGTTTAAGAAATCATAAGTACACTTCAGTTTCAAAAGGATGATGGGAAGAAAACCAAGTTTTCGAGGGTTAAAACATCCCCCAGAGGGATGGGATGGAGAGGGAGGTGGGAGGGGGGATCGGGATGGGGAACACATGTAAATCCATGGCTGATTCATGTCAATGTATGGCAAAAAAAGAAAATAAATAAATAAAAATTTTTTAAAAATAGCAGTCACGTTAAATATACTAGAATAAGTTCATGTTTTAACTTTTTCTCCCTTCTGAAATTGCACTAAAATAATAGTAAAAGCATTTCAGAGGGCATAAAAACAGGAAGAAGAGCTGAAAAATGATATCCACATAATTGGAAGCTGGACAGGAAATGAATGACTGTTTACAGGCTAGTGAGATCAGAAGCTGAAACTTGAATGGCTTCAGTAGAGAAGGTCAAGAAGCAAGCCAGTTCTCACTGCAGAACACTGAAACACTCAGGAACTGAGACACTGGGAACCTCTAAAGGCAGCAGAAGTGTAGGGAGCCCAAAATAGAAATACTAGTTAAAAGTAGCATTGAGAAGCAGATTGACCCTTAGATTCCTCTCTCTTATCCCACACAACCAAGTGACTGCTTGGCAGTTAACTCTCTGAAGAGGTTCTACCAGAAAGATTGTTTGGGCTCAGGGAGGTCAGACATAACTGAGGATGAGGGTATCAGTGAAAACAGGGTTACATGAAAGTCCACTTACTGAATCACGGTGAGACTCTACCAGCCACCTTCCCCTTCCCTAAGTCTCATTAACAGCTAGACTTTTATACCAGATAAAATGTTAGAGGACCCCTCTCAGAGAAATTGACTAGACAACCACAGAGAGAAAAAACCCAGACAGCCACAGTTAAAAGACCCTTAATGAAACAATGCTCCAACCAGTTACCTGACAGTAAATTTCCTACTCAGTAAGACCCACCACACCAAAAAGCTTCCAGTTGGCCTTAAAGAGTATTTATTCTCACTCTTAAGTATGAATAGACACCCAAAGATCAAGTGATAGTTAAGGAAAACCTGAGTTAGTGAAGAAAGATTGAAACAGGAAAAAGGAAGGAAGGGAAGGAGGGAAGAAAGGAAACAGTTGTAAACATAACCTGGTATATAATTATCAGATAAAGATTAGAGTTTCAGGGAAGGGAAAGTGTAGACTAGAACAGCAGTTTTCAAACTTGGGCTTGCATCAAGATCACCTAGAGCAATTGTCAAACCACATCACTGGACTCCAGGGTTTCTGATTCAGGAGGTTTGTGTGAGGCCCAAGAATTTATATTTCTAGGAAGTTCCCAGTGCTGCTGGTGCTGCTGCTGGTTTGAGGACCACACCAGAGCCATCAAGACTGAAGGGGTTCCTTTGAAAGAAAAGAAAGATAAGCCTTCAAGAACCTGGTAGGAATTAAATTACAGTGAGAGAAGCAAGCATTATTCCATATTCCGAGGCAAGTGAGAACATTGTGGATGGACGGATTCAAGACGAGGAGAGGAAGTACAAGTGGCTCAACATCAAAAAAACAAACAACCCTGCACTCCCCTGGTGGCTCAGTGGTGAAGAAACCACCTGCCAATGCAGGAGACACAGGTTTGATCCCTGATCCAGGAAGATCCCACATGCCACAGAGCAGCTAAGCCCACGCGCCACCGCTGTTGAGCCTATGCTGTGGGGCCCAGAAGCGGCAGCTGCTGAACCCATCTGCTGCAGGTACTGAAGCCCACACGTCCCAGAGCCTGCGCTCAGCAACAAGAGAAGCCACCACAACAAGAAGCCTGTGTACCAGCCCCTGCTTCCCTCAACTAGAGAAAAGCTTGTGCAACAATGAAGACCCAGCACAACCAAGAATAAATAAATAAAATTTTAAAAATCAACCCAATCAGAAAACGAGCAGAAGACCTAGACTAGAAATTTCTCCAAAGAAGGCATACAGATGGCCAAGAAGCACATGAGAAGATGCTCAACATTGTTAATCATTAGAGAAATGCAAATCAAAACTACAATGAGATATCACCTCATATCAGTCAGAATGACCATCATCAAAAAGTCTACAAAAAATAAATACTGGAGAAGGTGTGGAGAAAAGAGAACCCTACTAAACTGCTGGTGGGAATTTAAATTGGTCACAGCCACTATGGAAAACAATATTCAGGTTCCTTAAGAAACTAAAACTAGAGCTACCATATGACCCAGCAATCCCACTCCTGGGCATATATCAGAGAAAAACCTGGTTTGAAAGGATATATCCAACATTCATTGCAGCACTATATACCTGGATGCAACGAAAATGTCCACTGATAGATGAATGGATAAAGAAGATGTGGTACATATATACAATGGAATATTACTCAGCCATTAAAAAGAATGAAATAATGCCATTTGTAGCAACATGGATAAACTTGGAGATTATCATACTAAGTAAGCCAGACAGAGAAAGACAAATATGATATGATATCACTTATATATGGAATCTTTTAAAAATGACACAAATTAACTTATTTACAAAACAAACAGACTCACAAACTTAGAGAATGAGCTTATGGTTTCTGGGGGGAATAACAGGGGAAGGGAATAGTTAGGTAATTTGGGATGGACATGTACACACTGCTACATTTAAAATGGATAACCAACAAGGACCTACTGTATAGCACATAGAACTCTGTTCAATGTTATGTGGCAGCCTGGATGGGAGGGGAGTTTGGAGGAGAATGAATATGTGTATATGTATGAGTGAGTGCCTTCAGTGTTCACCTGAAACTATCACAACATTGTTTATTAATCCGCTATACCCCACTATAAAATAAAAAGTTTAAAATAGTAACCAACAAGGACCTACAGGGAACCCTGCTCAATACTCTGTAACATCCTAAATGGGTAAATAATATGAACAAGAATAGATACATGTATATGGATAACTGAACCACTCTGTGGTACACTTGTAACTAACACAACATTGTTAAGCAACTATACTCCAATATAAAATACATTTTTTTAAAAAGGTTAGGGAAGGAAAAAAAAAAAAAAAAACGGTTAGGGAAGGAAGTATCTGATTACAAACCAGACTCCAATCAGAACACGATCAGCACATCTCCTACCCAACCACTGCTGCAGCTCTGATATTTAGAACGAGTTCTTTCCCTCTTCCTGAGAGGAAAAGAAAAGTTCCCCATCACCATCCCAGAGAGAAGTGAAGCCTCCTGATGCTGTAGTAGAAAGAAACCTATGAAGTAGTGAGAAGAAAGGTCCTGTATCTTGTTCTCTAGGACACTCCTCCACTCAGCACACTGTGAGACCTTCCACTTTGGTACTGAAGGCCCCACTGCAGCAAAGCAGTGAGAAACATGTTTTTCCACTCAGCAGTGAGCCACCAGATCCCTACCTCAGCTGCTAAGAGGAGTCTCTGTCCCAGCAGCAAGAAGGAATCTGACCTGTCACTGATAATTCCAAACATACCTTTGGGGATGTTTATACTGTGAATTAGAGTCCTTTATCATATGTAGCCTGTGGTACATAAAGAATGTATAACCTAAAATGCATAGTAACATATCTCCTAAATATGTTCACACACATGACTGAACGTACACACACACATATGCACACACACACACACACACACACAGATTGTAAAGAATTACAGTAGTGATTTACTCTGGACATCTGTGGATAATAAGATTACTGGTAACATTTTCTTTATACTTTTCTAACTCTTCCAGATTTTCTGCAATGAGAATTTCTCTTAATTTAAAAAATGCTGCATTTTAAAACCCAACATAAAATTACTATATTATATACCTGTAGCATATGATATTGTACAGAAGCTGCACTTCAATTTTAAAAAACAAACCACAAAATAATATAATAGTAGACATGACTAATGTTTATAGTCAAGTTGATACCACTTAAGGGTTTGTCAGAGATCAAAACTGCTAGGTGTTTTTCTAGACAAGACTGGGAAGTCTTGGAGCGGAGGAAGGAAGCCAGAGCCCAGAAACTGCGTGAATAAGTCATCAAATGGTCTGTGGAAAATGTCTGTAGATATTCTATAAATGTCACATAAATAATATTAAATGACTATACAAATTAAACTCAAATATATTCAGCATATATAACTTGAAAGTTGACTTCCTTTTCTTTCTGTCCAACAGTCAGGCACTTTTTAACCATCTCTGAATTACCTTTTTTTCCTAGCTATTTCCGAAGAAAATTCCAGGAAACCACCTCAGGAATGGTGTGGAGCCCCGATACTATGGGTTATGGAAAAAGGAGATTTAAGCCAGACATATGCACACCTCCAAGCTCAAGCACAGCTGCCTTCGCTAATGCTGCTCGGATTGCAATAATGAAAGAAAAGGATTTATTTAAATTTCTTGATGAGCTCAAAAGTAAGGGTCATTTGTCCTCTCCCCACTGTTGTAAAAGATGTATGTGTATGTTACTGGTCAGAAATAAATACTAGATGCCAAGTGCTTTAAGAGTAGGGCCACAGCCTATTCTGAGTGACTGGTCTGTCACACAGATATCGTTTGAAACAAATGTACATTTTACCTGAATCCCTAGACACCTGGATGAAGCTGTAAGTCTGTGGATGGGTGGGATGGTGGGAGCAGGAGAATGAAGAAGGGGTGGCAGGGCCACTGAGGAGATGAATAGGCAAAGAGCAAATTAGGCACCACATTTATGTCTTCTATGGGAATTTCTTCTTACATTTTTCATGATACCAGTTTTTATCTTTTCAGAGTGCAATCCTCCTTCAGATAGCCCATACTCAAAAATACCCATCTTTCCACTGTTTCCTAATGTGGATGGAGTGGTAATGGGAAAGCCATTCAAAGACATACAAAAGTTAGAAATGCTGAAGAGAAAGGAGCCTCTGAATTTCTTTGAGAACTATTTTTTCCATAAAAAAGACTGGAAAACACAGGTGAGATTTGGATTATGTCATATCAGTTCAATATTTAGGTTTTTAAGTTGTAACTTAACAGAACTAGTAATGTGCTTATTAATGACAAATATTTTCAGTCATGATATTTCAAACCAGACTCCATACCATAGCCATGTCCCTAAATTTAAAGTCCAGGTATAAATATTTCAAGGCTTCCCTCATAGCTCAGTGGTAAAGAATCCACCTGCCAATGCAGAAGACACATGTTTGATCCCTGGGTCAAGAAGATCCCCTGTAAAAGGAAATGGCAACCCACTCCAGTATTCTTGCCTGGGAAATCCCATGGACAGTGGAGCCTGGCAGGCTATAGTCTATGGGATCACAAGAGTTGGACATGACTTAGCGACTAAACAACAACAATAAATATGTCATTTAATTTAAACAAATCATTAAAATTGCTAAAAAAATGTATAATACTATAATTCTAATCTATATAAATGTTGATTATAAACCAAGGAATGAAAAAAAATTAAAAATAAAAAAATAAAATAAACCAAGGAATGAAACTTTCAAGTTTCAGGGACTTCCCTAGCAGTCCAGTGGTTAAGACAACATGCTTCTGCTGCAAAGGTCATGGGTTCGATCCCTGGTTGGGAAACTAAGATTCTGCATGTATGTGGCACAGTCAAAAAATAAAAAATAATTTAAAAATTCTACATGGCAAGAAAAGTCACATTTGCAACTCATAATACAAAGAGCTAACTTTTCTAATATATCAGAGAGCTTCAAAGTGATTAGAAAAAACCTATATAAAAATGAGCAAAAGATATGAGCAGACAGTTCTTAGAAACATAAAAAGATATTCAGTCTCACTCTTCGTAAAAGATCCAAATTAAAACTATCCTGAGATGTTATCTCTCCATATTAGATTGCCCAAGACCAAAAAGCTGGAAAACACCTGGGACATAAGAGAGATAAAAGAGAGAAAAGCATACACATTTTATTAAATTTTACATATACCTAGGAAAATGAAAACCCAAAGAAGCAATTAGAATTAAACATTTATATACTGAAATAAAAAAAGAAGTACTGGTTTGGAGAGTATCAGACAATAAGAACTAAAATACTACACCATGCTAACATGGAAGATGAAGAGGGTGGTGCTCAGAATGAAAGCTAAGTTCTTTTTATTGTTTGGGGAGAGGCTTATGATATTGATTAAATCTATAATTTGTTGCATTAATTGTAAATGTTAAAAGTGTGGAGATAATCAGTAAAAACTAAAATGAATATTGCCAAACCATAGAGGAATAAAAAAATTAAGAAAAAAGAGAGAACATGGGAAAATAGAAAGTACGAAACAAAATAGGCATAAAAATTCAAATATATCAGTAACATAAGAAATGATTAAAGACACCAGTTTAAAAAAAATAATAAGGGGAAGGGAGGAAGGAAGGAAGAAAGAATTGTTTTCAAGTTTAAAAGAAAGGGTGCTGATTTTTTTTAAGTAGTTTTAAGATATATATCATTATACCTAAATTATGACACAGAAACTTGAAAATAAAGGGACAGAAGAAGATATATCAGGCAAATACAAATCAAAATAAGCTGTTATCCATATGTTGGGGGGAGAAAATTTAAGGAAAATATAAAGATAAATATGCTATTTATCTTAAAATCTTAGAATCTCAAAAATAAAACAGACACAATTCACAGATACAGAAAACAGTTTACCAGGAGGGAGAAGAATGAGGACAGGAGCAAAATAGGTAAAGGAGATTAAGAGGTACAAACCACTAGATATAAGTTACAAGGATGTAGTGTACAATACAGGGAGTATAGCTAATACTTTATGATAACTTTGTATGGGGTATAATCTATTAAATGTTGAATTACTGTTTGTACCTTTGAAACTAATATAGAAAGTCAACTATACTTCAGTTAAAATTTTTTTTGATCATCAGGAAGACAAAACTATTCTGAATCTGTATATACCTAACAAATTGACAGATAAGGTGATATTTAACAGAATAATAAGGATTAGCTTTAGACTTTTTAAGGCACTATACATGGTAAAAATAAATATTGAATGAATAAGCAAATCCACAATCACAGTGGAAGATTTTTATCATGCCTCTTCAGAAACTGATAATGCAAAGGAGCAGTGGGGAGGCGGGGATCAAATCCTCTTACAAAAATTTAACTTTTTGTGACAGGAAGAGAAACACGAAACTATAGCTTGATGGAGAATCAGAGTCTATAAAAATCTGTTTCAGGATGTAAGAGATGAGCTCTTTTGTAGCCAGGAGGAAGAACCCTTAGAACTCTGGTTCTCAATCTTGGTTGCACAACAGAACCCCCAGGGAGGGCTTTTACAGTCCTGCTGCCCTGGTCACAAGTCAGTCTAGTTAAATCATATCTCTGGGAATGAGGCCCTGGCCTCAGGATTTTTTAAAGTTCCACTATGCAGCCAAAGCTAAAAACCACTGCTTAAAGAGAAACTGAAGATGTTTGAGGATGTAGAAGAGAGGCAAGACTGGCTACATGACTGGCTAGGCCCAGTGCAAAATGAAAATATAGGGTTCCTTGTCCAAAAATAGTTAAAAATTTAAAAACAGCAACGTAAAACATTAAACCAAACTCAGGGCCCTTCTAAATACAAGGACCTGTGTACTTACACAGGTCATACACCCATGAAACCAGCGCTGGAAAGAAGTAAATTGGAGGGAGGTGAATAAATAAAGATACACAAAGAGACCTTGAAAATTAGGAAAAACTCTCACATATAAGAGGGAAGGAGGAAGAAATGAGTGAAAGGATGGAGAAATCCTAAGGTGGAAAGAAGAGCAAAAAGAATTCATGTCAGATAGACTTGAAGAGACAAGATCATTAGCTAAGGGAGTTTAAAGGTTTGGTTTTCTAGCAGCCTCTGTAAGAGCTGAAAATGAAGAAAATTAATGTCAGGCAGTCCTGAGGACCTGGATGAGCCTGGGTCGTACACATTTTCAAAGAAAGCAATCTGAATATTTGTATGATTTCCAGCAACGCTGTTCAGCAGCCCAGGAACAGGGTAAAACAGATGGCTGGTTCCCTGTGAGAATTTTGGAAGTAGTACAGGTTGTGCTCTGTGGAGGGCACAGTCATTTTCAGTGCTTTGGAAGTTTGAGTGAGGATGGAGTTGGTGCCTCTCTATTCCCTGCATCCATCCCAAACATAAACCATCCTCTGGTCTATACTTGTCTTATGACTAGGCTTCACTATTAAGAAAGAGTTTGCTCGATGCCCATTTACACATGGCACTATACCAGGTGCCCTGAGACAATTGACAAGTGGTGTAGAAATAATCTTATAAATCATATACACACCCTTTCATAATACAGTATATTTCTGTGTATTTTGTCTTTGTTATACAATTCAACTAAAATATGTTACTAACCTTCTTTTTTAAATGTTTATAAAGGCAGCAAATATAAAACCTGTTGACCCTACCTCAGGCTACCCAAGTGATATCCTCACCATTGATCAAATACTCAAGAAAAAGCAGAAATGGACAGTGGCTGATGCAGCTGCTATTAAACCACATGTGAGTATCCACTGTTTAATGCCTTCCCAGAAACCATTGACCAAAATGCTTTCCACTTCATTACTACAACCATAGAACTTCCCTGGTGGCTCAGCGGTAAAGAATCTGCCTGCAATACAGAAAACACAGGAGACACCAATTTTATCCTTGGGTCAGGAAGATCCCCTGGAGGAAGAGATGGCAACCCACTCCAGTATTCTTGCCTAGAAAATCTCATGGACAGAGGAGCCTGGCAGTGGGCATGGACCCATGGACATGGGGTTGCAGTGGGTTGGACATGACTGAGCACATACACACTACAACCATAAAACCGAGATTTTTTTTTTCTGTTCTCTGTCTTTAAGACCAGATCATTTCTCATTTTCATCCATTGTAATGATATTTCTTGCTCTGTAACCAAATGGGTTCAAATTGTATAATTCATCCTGCTAATCATCTTTGGGGGCTTCCCACATGGTTCAGTGTGGGAAGAAGAATCCGCCTGACAATGTGGAGTCATGGGTTTGATCCCTGGGTCAGGAAGATCCCCTGGAAAAGGAAATGGCAACCTACTCCAGTGTTCTTGTCTGGGAAATCCCATGGACAGAGGATCCTGGTGGGCTACAGTGCATGGGGTCCACAAAAGAGTCAGACACGACTGAGCAACTAAACAACAATCACCTTTGGAGCTGAACCCATCATCATTTCTGGGGCATTCATTTGTTTCATACTGGAGACATCAACTAGTTAAGGTAGTAAACCAGCAGTCATAGTGAGGGGTGTACTCAGGGAGGGAATTGTGATGATTGACTGCATCTTTATTATGGCAGCTAAAAGAATAATAGTAATAGTAGTTTAATTATGCTTCCTAGGTGCCAGGCAGTGTGCTCTATAAGTTCTCTACAAGTGCTTTATAGGTTCTAATTCATTTACTTACCACAACAAACCTTTGAGTTAGGCACTGTTACTCCTTGTCATTTTACCAATATGCACAGAGAGGTTACATGATTTGCCCAAAGGCTACACAGCTAGAAAGTAATAGAACCAGAATTAAAAGCATGGGTAACTTGGATTCTGAAGAATCCACACTTTAACCACAACTCTGTGCTGCGTGTCTGCTTTTGTGCCCTCACTTCTTAGCAAATTTTGTCTCCCAGAAAGAAACTGTGGTGTATTTATTTTATGCCCGCTCCCTTCCGCATTTGACACTAATGGTCAAGCTCTCCGAGACACATTCTACTTCCTTAGCCTTTACGATGGGGCTTCCCTGGTGGCTCAGATGGTAAAGAATTGGGAGAAGGAAATGGCTACCCATTCCTAGTATTCTTGCCTGGAGAGTTCCATGGACAGAGAAGCCTGGTGGGCTACAGTCCAAGAGGTTGCAGAGAGTCAGACACAACTCAGCAACTAACACTTTCACTTTCTTAGCCTTTACAATACTGCATCTTCAATTCTTTGTGTATCTCTGTGTCTTTGCTCTCTCTTCTTTTTCCTGAGGTTCACCCTTTTTTTCTATAATGAAGTACAGTTGATTTACAGTGTTTGAGCTATACATCAAAGTGATTCAGTTATACATACACATACAAATATATTCTTTTCCAGATTATTTTCCATTATAGGTTATTAAAAGATATTGATTATAGTTGCCTGTGCTATAAAATAGGTCCTTACTTTTTATCTATTTTACATATGTGGAAGTCACTCAGTCGTGTCTGACTCTGTGACCCCATGGATGGTAGCCTGCACCAGGCTCCTCCGTCCATGGGATTTTCTAAGCAAGAGTACTGGAGTGGGTTGCCATTTCCTTCTCCAGGAATCTTCCCGACCCAGGGATCGAACCCAGGTCTCCCGCATTGTAGACAGATACTTTACCATCTGAGCCACCAGGGAAGTCCTTAAAATAATAAGTAAGTAAGTAAGTGTTAGTTGCTCAGTTTTGCCCAGCTCTTTGTGATCCTATGGACTGCAGCCCACCAGGCTCCTCTGTCCATGAGATTTTCCAGACAAGGATACTGGAGTGGGTTGCCATTTCCTTCTCCAGGGAATCTTCCTAATCCAGGGATCGAACCTGGGTCTCCTGCACTGCAGGCAGATTCTTTACCGGCTGAGCTACAAGGGAAGCCCAAAAAAGGATTGCTCCTGTGGCCTGTATGGGGAATGAACCTGTGACCTTGGTGTTATCAAGTGGTGTGTATCTGTTAATCCCAAGTTCCTAATTTACCCCTCCCTCCTTTCCCCCTTCAAACTTTGGTAACCATAAGTTTGTTTTCTATGTCTGTGAGCCTATTCCTATTTTGTAAGTAAGTAATCCATATCATCTTTTTAGATTCCACATATAAGTGATATATAATATTTGTCTTTCTCTGTCTTACTTCACTCAGTATGATAATCTCTAGGTCCATCCATGTTGCTGGAAATGCCCTTATTTCATTCTTTTTTATGGTTGAATAGTATTCCACTGTATATATATAAACCCATATCTTCTTTATCCATTCATCTGTCAGTGGACATTTAAGTTCCTTAAGTCTTGATATTTCCTAGTTTTCTAATCTCATCTTACTGCTCTTATTATACACATTCATTTGTTCAGTAAATATTTATCCAGTGTTAACAAGGTTCTGCGATTAGGAGATACCACAAAATAAAAAACACCATTCCTACCCTCAATCTTTCTACACTCTGATTCTCCTTGTTTCAGCTGCCACCTAAATGCCTGATCAGTCTTACTGTCACTGGCCTAGACGTCTTTCCAGTACTGCCTCAGCTCACTGATTACCTGCTGAGCATGTTTACCCTGCTGTCTCACAGCATATCAAGCTGGACACGTCCAAAAGCAAACTCATCATCTTATACATCAAACTGGCTCTTCCTTGAGGATTCCATACTACCATCTCCCTAGGCACTGAGACTTGAGGCCAGGAACCATCCTTCAGTTCAGTACAGTTGCTCAGCCATGTCTGACTCTTTGCAACCCCATGAACCATAGAACACCAGGCCTCGCTGTCCATTACCAGCTCCCAGAGTTTACCCAAACTCATGTCCATTGAGTCGGTGATGCCATCCAACCATCTCATCCTCTGTCATCTCCTTCTCCTCCTGCCTTCAATCTTTTCCAGCATCAAGGTCGTTTCAAATGAGTCAGCTCTTCGCATCAGGTGGCCAAAGTATTGGAGTTTCAGCTTCAGCATCAGTCCTTCCAATGAACACCCAGGACTGATCTCCTTTAGGATGGACTGGTTGGATCTCCTTGCAGTCCAAGGGACTCTCAAGAGTCTTCTCCAACACCACAGTTCAAAACCATCAATTGTTTGGTGCTCAGCTTTCTTTATGGTCCAACTCTCACATCATACATGACTACTGGAAAAACAATAGCCTTGACTAGAAGAGACCTTTGTTGGCAAAGTAATGTCTCTGCTTTTTAATATGCTGTCTAGGTTGCTCATAACTTTCCTTCCAAGGAGTGTCTTTTAATTTCATGGCTGCAATCACCATCTGCAGTGATTTTGGAGCCCCCCCAAAATAAAGTCTGACACTGTTTCCACTGTTTCCCCATCTATTTGCCATGAAGTGATGGGACTAGATGACATGATCTTAGTTTTCTGAATGTTGAGCTTTAAGCCAACTTTTTCACTCTCTTCTTTCACTTTCATCAAGAGGCTCTTTAGTTCTTCACTTTCTGCCATAAGGGTGGTGTCATCTGCACATCTGAAGTTATTGATATTTCTTCCAGAAATCTTGATTCCAGCTTGTGTGTCATCCAGTCCAGCATTTCTCATGATGTACTCTGCATGTAAGTTAAATAAGCAGGGTGACAATATACATCCTTGACGTATTCCTTTTCCTATTTGGACCCAGTCTGTTGTTCCATGTCCAGTTCTAACTGTTTCTTCCTGACCTGCATATAGGCTTCTCAAGAGGCAGGTCAGGTGGTCTGCTATTTCCATCTCTTACAGAATTTTCCACAGTTTATTGTGATCTACACGGTCAAAGGCTTTGGCATAGTCAATAAAGCAGAAATAGATGTTTTTCTGGAACTCTGTTGTTTTTCAGTGATCCAGTGGATGTTGGCGATTTGATCTCTGGTTCCTCTGCCTTTTCTAAAACCAGCTTGAACATCTGGAAGTTCACGGTTCATGTACTGCTGAAGCCTGGCTTGGAGAATTTTGAGCATTACTTTACTAGCTTGTGAGATGAGTACAACTGTGCAGTAGTCTGAGCATCCTTTGGCATTGCCTTTCTTTGGGATTGGAATGAAAACCTACCTTTTCCAGTCCTGTGGCCACTGCTGAGTTTTCCAAATTTGCTGACATATTGAGTGCAGCACTTTCACTGCATCATCTTTTAGGATTTGAAATAGCTCAACTGGAATTCCATCACCTCCACTAACTTTGTTCGTAGTGATGCTTCCTAAGGCCCACTTGACTTCACATTCCAGGATGTCTGGCTCTATGTGAGTGATCACACCATTGTGATTATCTGGGTCATGAAGATCTTTTTTGTACAATTCTTCTGTGTACCACCTCTTCTGAATATCTTCTGCTTCTGTTAGGTCCATACCATTTCTGTCCTTTATTGAGCCCATTTTTGTGTGAAATGTTCCCTTGGTATCTCTAATTTTCTTGAAGAGATCTCTAGTCTTTCCCATTCTATTGTTTTCCTCTATTTCTTTGCATTGATCACTGAGGAAGGCTTTCTTATCTCTCCTTGCTATTCTTTGAAACTCTGCATTCAAATGGGTATATCTTTCCTTTTCTCCTTTGCTTTTCACTTCTCTTCTTTTCACAGCTATTTGTAAGGCCTCCTCAGACAGCCATATACTTTTTGACATTGCTTTTTCTGGGGATGGTCTTGATCCCTGTCTCCTGTACAATGTCATGAACCTCCATCCATAGTTCCTCAGGCACTCTGTCTATCAGATCGAGTCCCTTAAATCTATTTATCACTTCCATTGTATAGTCATAAGGGATTTGATTTAGGTCATACCTGAATGGTGTAGTGGTTTTCCCCACTTCAATTTAAGTCTGAATTTGGCAACCATCCTTAAGTTATGTTTTTTCCTCACTCCCCACATCTGCTAATCACCAAATCTGGCTACTCCCATTCTCCCAAAGATTTTTCAAATCTGTCCCCTTCATTCCATCATATTGCTATTGCCTAAACTGAAGCCCTGCTTTACCTGGACAACAACTTCCAACCTGCTATCCCTTCCTCACAGCTCCACCCGTTCTCCACACAGCTGCTGTGGAGAATGGGTCCTAAGAAGATCCAACCTGTCACTGTCCTGCTTAAGAAATGAATGCTTCCCTCTTGGCAGTGGCAGCGTATTTCAACTGTACTTTCTGCTCCACACAACTGAGGGTCCCATTGCACTTCCCACAGAAAAGTGTCTCACTAGAACATGACCTTCCCTGACAAAAGCGCTCTCCCCAACCTCACTGAGAACAAGTCTTAGGGCTTGATTATGGCAACAACACCTGACTTGCCTCTCCTCAAAGTTAACTCTTTAGTGATACCCTAGGGCCTGGACTCCCCTACCAGCTCTGGGATGAATTGCCTTGGGAGCATTTGTAATGCTATCTCCTCTCCCTGGAATACTTTCCCATGGCCACCTACTCCCTAGATTTAATCAAATCCTTGTGGACCTCTGGGCTTCCCTGGTGGATCAGACAGTAAAGAATCTGCCTGCAATGCTGGAGACCTGGGTTCCATCCCTGGTTTCGGGAGATCTCCTAGAGAAGGAACAGCTACCCACTCTAGTATTCTGGCCTGGAGAATTCCATGGACAGAGGAGCCTGGAGGGCTACAGTCCATGGGGTCTCAAACAGTCGAACACGACTATTTTCATTTCATTTTTCTTGTGGACCTCCTTAGCTCAGCATCTTCTCCTTCCCTGCCCTAGGCTGGACAGAGTGCCATCCTTGTCACTTCTGTTGTACTAACAGCCCATCTCCATCCCACATTTCCTCCTTGTTTTAGTCTACCGTGTTTTTAAATTCTTATAAAATTTCTTAATATCTCACTACTCCTAAGTAATACATTTTCATTGTCCATCAACTCCTAACTCATGTGTCCTCAAGAGGCACTACCTAATATATAAATTCAGTGACTTGGAAGTAACCTTGAAAAAATAACCTTTGGGGTATCTAGAATTACGGTCCAGAAACCAAAGATATTTTGAGGTAACTACTATAAACTACTTCTCTCTCACTGCAGGTAAAGAGAGCTACAGACACCTATAACTTGGGAATTGCCCTTGAGCACCGGAAACAAATGCTAAACCTCTGGCGGAAGATTCGAGGAGATTTGATTGGAATAGAGAGTAAAAATGAGTCCTTTTATGACACCTTTTCTACTTATACATGGTCCTGGAATGTCTGCCAAGAATTACTTTCCCCGAAGGACCTAAAGTTATACGATGCCCACGTGAACAGAAATGCCTTCCACAACTCTGTATTCTCGTCCTCTCCAGATATCAGTGAATGTGACACAGACACAGGAAGGAAAAGAAAACGGAAAGGCTTCAAGGACTTTCGACAATGAAATTTCTACGTTTTCTGAACAGCTCATCGCAAACTACTTTTTCATAGATATCAAAATTATTCTTGCTTTTGTCTAATACATCCTTAGCAGCTGGAAATGTTGACATCTTTTGAATTCTGACCAGTAAAAATGTTTAAGTCATAGTATGGTTTCTTTTCCTAATTCTTAACTGGTAAATAGATGCCTCGGGGTGATTTCTCTAGCAACCAACTGCACTCTGCTGCCCCCACCTGGGGCACCTCAAAGCTGCCTGAGCCTCAGCAGGAAGGATAAAAGCGAAGACGGTACTTAACACAGGGCTGCCCTCTGACCTCCTAACAGCCCTCTCAGCAATAAGCATCTGAGCTTATGTAACTTAAGTGGCATTCTTTTTTTGTTTGTTTGTTTGTGCAAGAGGCCAGAAGCAGCAGATGACAATGACCTTTCAGTTTCAGGGAATAATTTTGCAATCCCCTAGGGAAACTTGATTAGATCTGGGTTTTCCTAAGGATCCTAATCCTGATCCCCTGGATTACTCTGAAAAACAGCTGATCTCATACCCTCTTTCTTGGTGAGGGGTTGCAATTTTTTATTGTGGAAAAATGTAAATACCATAACATTTATTATTTTAACATACTTAAGTGTATATAATCCATTACTTTTTCTCTTTTAGAAAAAGGGAAATACATGTTCCACACTGATGGAGACAGTGGCTTATAATGTAAAATTATAACATGCCAGGAAAAAGTAATGAAGATAGCGAAGGCTCCCAAAACTGTTCAAGAAATAAGCCTGAAGTAATTTTGTGTTACCTTGAATATTCAAAACTGTCTAAAATATTTGCCACTTTTTATAATTTTTATGATTGGGACAAAAATAAATAACATTTTCTATCCAAAAAACAAAACTTACAGTTTGACAAGAGTTTTGGGGGGTTTTGTTTTTGGTATGGCTGTGTGAGTATAACAGGAAAACCTAAGAGATTTCATTTGGATGCCAAAATATTAGAATTCCTGGGATATTTCCTTGGATCAATGGGATAACAGGACAGAATATTTTTAAGTAGATATGTCCTGGAAAATCTAGGATACATTCTATTAAAATTATTCTTAACAGAAATACATTCTATTAAATCATCACACACTGTTGACAACAGCATAAGTTGGCATCTCTCTGATGGAATGCAATATAGCAACAGGTACTCAGCCCGTTCACCAGTTATTTCCTGAGTTGCATACTGTGTGCTGGATCCTGTTCTCAGACCTAGATATGCAACCATGAACAGACAGATAAAATGCTCTGACCAAAGACTGAGGGCAGGAAAAGGGGGCAACAGAGGATGAGATGGTTAGACAGCATCACCAAATCAATGGATGTGAGTCTGAGCAACTCCTGGAGATAGCAAAGGACAGGAAAGCCTGGCATGCTGCAGTCCATGGGGTCACAAAGAGTCAGACATGACTTAGTAACTGAACAACACAGAGCTTCATAACAGAGCTAATTATAACCATTGACTCAGCACTTCCACTTCTAGAAATTAATCCTAAAGAAATAATAATGAATGTACAAAATGATTTAGTTATAAGGATTTTTCTTATGGTGAATGTTTTACTAAAAAGAAACTAAGAAACAAAGTAGCCTAATTGTCCAGTACATCATGGTATAACTATACGAAACAATACCAGGGTCATTAAAATGATGTTGTAAAAGATACTTCAAATAAAAGAATAATATTCACAACTGCAAAGCAGACTACAGCTCCTAAAAGGAATGAAAGAACTTCATGGAGTTGTTCTAAAACTTAATTATGATTGAACCCAGGTCTCCAGCATTGTATGCAGACTCTACCGTGTTAGCCACCAGGGAAGCCCCTAACTATGATGGTGTTGCACAAATACATATTTTTATGAAAACTCATTAACCTGTACATTTTAAATGGATGAATTTAATTGTATGTCCATTTTACCTCAATGGAACTGTAAAAAATCAGGGAGGGGCACAAAGTAATTTGTTCTAAAACTATTTAACTTAAAAATTATTTCTATAAACAAGAAACACTGGAAGGATATAAATCAAAGAGTGTCTAATGGGCTAAACTAAGGATGGGGTATGATATTTTCTTTTCTTCTTTTGCCTTATCTATATCTTCTAAATGTTCTACAGTAATTTATTTGCAATAAGGAAAACAATCACAAAAGCTGTTTTAAATTTAACATTGTTAAAGCAACTTATTCAATATATAGGACTGCTACGAAGGCTGTCCAGGGTCGATGAAACGATAAAGAGAGCAAATTAGGACAGTAGGATCCCTTCACCAGTCTTCAGTTCCAAAGCACATGGTTACACAGCCCAGAGCCTTCCACTGATTGGAACTGAAAGAAAAGCCTGAAAAAATTAACTACCTCAGTCCAGGGTTAACACTCAAGGCCATAATACAGAATGAAATTTCTCAACCTTTTGCAGCTTTGAACCCCTGCCACCCACTGAGCTGGGAGAATTCTCATTACTCACCAGCAGAGGGACCCTTAGCTCCTCTGAAAGGTAGTTCTTGCTGACTCTACAGTCTGATACCATGAAGGATTGACAGACAAGCCTTCCAAATTCCTTCTGAAATATTATTGTAGGTACTTCAAAAGATGGAGAAAAATGAATTTTACAGGCCAACTAAAGATAATTGTATAAAAGTTAAAATTAAGATACTCTATCACATCTTATTTAAAGGCCCAACTTGCTTGACACTTTAAGTGACTAATTGGAACTAATACAGCAAGTAACTTCAAGTGAAGACAGAGTGAGCTATCTGGAAGAAAATATGCAATAGGACTTTTGATTGGCACCACAAATCTTTCGGTGTGGGGAGAGAAAAGAAAGAAACCCGTAGATGACAGAACAAGATATCAAGAATAAATATGAACCAACTACCTTATTTACAAACAACTGACCTTGAGAAAAGATAAAAATTCTTCTACTTGCTTTTTGGAAAGGAGCTTTTGTTCAAAATGTTTCAAAAGACCATGAGAATGGCAAAACAATGCTGTTTTCAAATAAACTACAAGTTCTTTACTATCTTACCTTTTTTTATTCACTCCTGTCTTTTTCTTTGTGATTTAGGGTTTGTTTCCTTTTTTTTGGTGGGAAAGTTATAGAATCATCGCTCCCTTTGGTTTTGCCTATGGAAAGACTTGGGTTTCCCTGGTGGCTCAGTTGGTAAAGAATCCTCCTGCAATGCAGACTCAGGTTCAATCTGTGGATGGGGAAGATCCCTTGGAAAAGGGAATGGCTACCCACTCCAGTATTCTTGCCTGGAAAATCCCACTGACAGAGGAGCCTGGTGGGCTACTGCCCATGTGGTTGCGAAAGAGTGAGACACGACTTAGCGACTAAACCACCACCACCACCATGGAAAGATTCAGCAACAAGCTATCACTAGTTACCAGTGTGTTAAACCTAGAACTATATTACTTAAATAACTAATCCCTTCTCTTCTTCCAAATGATAGTCATCCCTCTTCTGGAAATCTTCTCAATTAACTTTATCTTATATTGACAGCATACTGCCTTCTTTTGTACGTTTGCAGCAATTATAGAAACAAACGTAAGGCTGAAAATGTATTAATATAACTATATATGTGTATGTATTACAATTCTGATTGTGCAAATAAGCTTTCCTATGAATAATTCAAAAAGTTAGGTGGTGGGGTTACTTTTAAACTTGTCCTTGGATATTTGATTTGACAGTTAAACTTCGTGTTCTCGAAATTCATTTCATATCTTTCTCCAGAAAAACAGTGTGGGGATACACACCACACACACTTTTCTCTCTCCTTTTTCACACTGTGAAAATCTGGAAAACTGCCCTATTTCCTCACCCTGCTTTCTATTTTTCTCAATTATTTTGGCCATTGCTCTACAGTAGAGCTAGGTAATTATTATTAAAGTGATTTAAAATTTTTCCTGTCTTACAACTTAAGAGAAACTGAGAACCTGTTAGAGCACCCTAGAATTAAAAGAAGGCTCAAGTCGAACGTCTACCACTTTCTCGCTCGCCTGTTGAAGGACTAAAGACTCTGGGGTGAAAACCCGCTGACTCTCCTTTCCAAATAGGTCCATCCCAGCAGGCAGAGGCCGAGAGCCGCCGCGACGGGGAACTTCACAGCTGCCCCACCCGGCCTCCGCGTTTTCCCGCCCAGACCCCGCGATTTCCGAAAGGGGTGTGGCCTGCAGAACGTTCGCGCGTGAGGGGAAAGTAGGTGTTTCCGGTTCCGGTGTCATGGACGGCTCCTTCGCTGAAGGCGATCCTGCCGCTGTCTGCGGGAAGAGGCAGCAGTTCGGGAGCCGGTTTCTGAGCGACCCCGCTCGCGTCTTTCACCACAATGCCTGGTAAGTGCCCTACCCTTCGCCCGGCCTGCGGTTCGCCCTCATTCCCAGCGCCGCAGAGCACTCTGCGGGCCTACTCTTAGCGCTCTCCTCCCATGGAAGAGGCGCTGCGGAGCCAGCGACTCCCTGCCCGCGGCGAAAACCTGAGGCGCCTAAGCTACCCATTTAATTTTCCCAGGGACAACGTGGAGTGGTCGGAGGAGCAGGCCGCGGAGGCAGAGAGGAAAGTCCAGGAGAACAGCACTCAGCGGGTGTGCCAGGAGAAGCAAGGTGCGCCCAGGTGGACCCTCAGTGGTATGGACAGCCTGGTACTGCTGGACGTGCTCTCCAGAGAGGCCGGAGTACCGAGGCCCCGAGAGTCTTTGTTACTGGTCTGAAACAGAACTCGGATAGAACGAGAAGGGGAGGGATTGGGGAAGGGCTGTGCCTTGACATCTTGTTAGGGCATAAAGGGTGTTTTGGTTTTGCTTTTTTTTTTTTGGAAGAGGATAACTGTATCTCAAGAGCATTTTCTAGTGACTTAAGTCTTAAATTATGTTGACTAGACCTGTATCAGTATGACTGGCTGTGGCAACATGATTGTCTTAGAGGATATACTTTGTATATCATTACATTTTGCCCGAGGAAATGTTGCCATTACAGCTGGATTCAAGTGGTCAGATTCTAAATAATGGGGGGTGGGGGGGCGGCTGGCTAATGAATCGTGAGTTATGTGTCTTTTCCTTGTGTGTTGACTATGAGGTGGTAAGGCTTCTGCAAAGGAAAGATGGATGAATCAGAGTGGAAATAAGTCTGGCCAAAGAAAAAGGCCTCTTCTGAAGAGGTGGATGATTTCACTGAAAAATACCCCTAGTTAATAAAACTAGGACTGGTTGAGCCTGTGTTCTAAGTGACAGTTGAAGGTGGCACTAGAAATTGCAGAGTCGTACCCACTGAAATAGTTCTGAACAAGTAGAAGAGTCCAGTTATGAAATATTAACCTTACATAGTTTGACAAAGACTACATCAAAGCAAATTAAGGTGGAGAGGGATTTTGAAAATCATATAGTCCAATATCCTCTTTTTACAGTTAAAGAAACTTGGACTTCAAGACATTAAGTGCCTTGCCCAGAAGTAAGCAGTTTAGTTAGTAGTGGTGGAATTTAGATAAAATTTCTTAGGTTTTTATTCTTCTGCTACACTAGTCAAGGCCCTTTATTGGCAAAGAGCAGAAAGCTAAAATCTAGTTATAAGCCAATGTTTTCTCAAAAATAAATAAGTAAAACTGAAATCTAGGACTGCCTTGATCACCTTGAACAACACAGGTTTCTTTTAAATTGCACATACTTTAGTCTATACTGTCCTCTATCATCAGATCTCCTCTCATCTGAACACTTTTCCTCTTGTCATCATTTTCTATTTCCATGCTTAGTATCTGTTAGTAGTGAATTCATTTCTGGGCTCCACACTAAAGAACCACAGATATAAGAATATAATGTAAAGAAGATACAATATCATACCTGTATCATAACCATTGACTTCACATGGGGAATAACTGAAGAACCTGGGACATTTAGCTTGTAAAAGAGGTTTTAGAAAGGGAAATAATTGCTCTCAAATATGAAAGAGCTGTTCTGTATGGCCCTGAGAGATAGTACGGCCTTTTGACCATAAATGATTAGAAAGGTTTTTTGCTTAATATTGAAAGTGAAAGTGAAGTAGCTCAGTCGTGTCCAACTCTTTGCGACCCTGTGGACTGTAGCCCACCAGGCTCCTCTGTCCGTGGAACTCTCCAGGCAAGAATACTGGAGTGGGCATTTCCTTCTCCAGGGGATCTTCCTGACCCAGGGATCGAACCCAGGTCTCCTGCATTGCAGGCAGACGCTTTAACCTCTGAGCCACTAAGAGCCATCTAAAGATGTGGGAGGAGAATTGATAGGTAGTAAGTTTTCTGGCAGAAGTTTAACTCCCTGGAAGGACAAGATACAGAGCAAATTCAAGTGTGATAGGACGAAATGACCACCAGCTCTGAGACTGAGGCTCTACTTGAGTATAACTTTTTGTATAAAATTTGGTGAAGCAGGGTGATAATTTATATTGTATACAAATAAAATTGAGAGATGGTTCTTAAAATTCTTTCTTAAATATTTACAGTTGATTATGAGATCAATGCCGACAAATACTGGAACGACTTCTACAAAATCCATGAAAATGGGTTTTTCAAGGATAGACATTGGCTTTTTACTGAATTCCCAGAGCTGGCACCTAGCCAAAATCACTTGAAGAATTTGCTCTCAGAGAATAAGAGGAGTGAAGTATATGAATATTATAGAAGTGGTGAGGATGGATCTGATTTAATGATGGAAGAACAGCACAGTTGTTCTTCTGTTAGCCTTGAAGATAAGACACAGCCACCTCTTATGGAAGAGAGTGTAACTCAGAAACTCCGTCACCTGGAAATCTGTGCTAATGAGTTTCCTGGATCCTCAGCAACCTACCGAATACTCGAGGTAACCTCCCTTTATTGTCCTGGCAGTGGGGTTAGCGAGTCTGTCTTATGCACAGAGGGTGGCAGTAGAGAGGCTGAGCCCCAAAGTAACTTCTGATGATGAAGTTGACTAGACTTACCCCTTTTATGTTGGCCTGGAATCACCTGCATTTTTGCGCTATTGAAATGTCCTGTGTGCAGACCAGCTGCCTTGGTCATGACGAACAAAGATAGATCACCTGAAGTGCTACCTGGGAACATTATATTCTGTCCAAAATTTGTAGTGTCCTGCTATACCTGCTGTCTAGTAGAGAGTCCCAGGTCAGAAGACAGCTTCTGTTACTTCTGATACAGTTATGAGATGGAGAGGTTAGTTAGGATGATGCCTGCTTTTCAGGTGTGGGAGATTTCTTGTCTTCTCAGTCTGGATGTGTGGTAGAGGATCGGCTAGACCTGAAAAAGAAAAGTGTGCACTGTAAAATGAATATTCACAAAAGTGACTACACACTCCACCAAAAGCTGATTAGTTTTGGGACTGAGTCCTCTGGCATGACTTTGTGCTAGTCCCTTATCCTCCCCAAGCGGAATGGGACTTCTGCCTCATAGCTATTACTAGGGTTAATTGAGATAATGTATATATAATGGCTGAGGATAGCGTCTGACACAGAGTAAATGGTGCTATTTTCGTTATTACCACATCCAGCACTGAATTTAGGACAGTGTTGCCGTGGTTCCCCTCATGACTTTTGCAATCCAGTCTACTAGAAACATGTTTCCAGTAATGGTATAGTGGAGCTCAGTAAGAAAATACTCTGTTTACAGGACCATTTGCCCAAACTCAAAAAGTAAAAGCAGCCTGTGCTCTTTTTCCCAGACCAGGTCCCATCCTGCTAATAAAAGCCCATATTCTTGTCTACTGTGGCTACCTCTTTAAGGGTTCCTGAGGTCACGGGCAGGGAATGTCATGATTACTCTAGCTCTGGTCTCTACACCTTTCCTAATACAGTAAGACAGATTGTCTATTGTTGATTATTTATTTACTTTAGGGAATTAATTCTTTGAGAATTCTGTGATTAATAATTCATTTCTGATTTCTGTCTACAGGTTGGTTGTGGTGTGGGAAACACAGTCTTCCCAATTCTACAAACTAACAAGTAAGGTTTGTTGTAAAGTTTAACAGCATGTCAGCAAAGAAAAAAGTGGTGCATTGTTGTTTCTTGGAACTCTTACTCTATTCAAATGGTAACAGCAATTATTGGGAACTGTGGGTTACAGGAGATTAGATGTCTACATTATCCATTTATGGATTGTTTTGACTTAATTGACTTATAAGTTATCTTTGTCGTCAAGGAAAGTAGTGAATGTTAAACTTGTTACTTTGTTAACATGTGGTGCCTTTGATATTTTAACTCTGCTGCATAGTAAAGAGAATAGCCATAATCCAGTTTGTAATCTAATTCCTCTGCTGTGGTTTTTTTCTTGCCCATTTCAGTGACCCAAGCCTCTTTGTTTACTGCTGTGATTTTTCTTCCACAGCTGTAGAACTTGTCAAGGTAAGTCCAGTGCTCCTATCAGTAATTTTCACTGACTTAAGGGAAAAAGGGCCTCATAAAAATCAAGGTCTCTATTTGCTTATTGTGCTGTGGTCTGAAATAGCCTGGAGTAGAGGAATTGGCCAAACATGATGATGGAACCTGATGCTTTCCTGCTGTGGAACTTTGGGCAGGTCTCTTGACCTTCCGAAAGTCATGTTTTAAGGATTGAAATGAAATGATTTTTTCATTTAGGATTGAGTTACAAGTTACAGAAATTTGTAGACAAACGCAGCTGATTAAAGGAATGTCATAGATCTGAAGGGCATGTGGTGTAGCCAGGACTAAAACTCAGTCCTGACAAAGTGTCAGGTACCAAAGACACACTGGTGAGATGCTGCCGCCCCCTTCTTCTGTCACAGCGCCTCCCTCAAGGTCATGGTGTTTTCCCTCTCATTGCCCATTTGCCTTTTGCTTGCTTTTTTTCTTTGCAGCCTGGTTTTCTCTGATAGGTTTTTCCTGGTTTTATACATGGCCTAATATACTTGCCCCTCTCAGTCCCTTATAAGCCTCCCCTCTTCGGGTATTCGCAGAACCTCACCTGAATGACAGTGTCTTGATTCCAGAGTCTCTAGAAAGTATGATTGACTCAGCTCAGCTGACCATCTACTTGCCCTGTTAATTAGCTGTGACCAGTGAGGAACATGGAGAAGGCACTGGCACCCCACTCCAGTATTCTTGCCTGGAAAAGCCATGGGCAGAGGAGCCTGGTGGGCTGCAGTCCATGGGGTCTCGAAGAGTTGACTGCGACTGAGTGATTTCACTTTCATTTTTCACTTTCATGCATTGGAGAAGGAAATGGCAACCACTCCAGTGTTCTTGCCTGGAGAATGCTAGGGACTGAGGAGCCTGGTGGGCTGCCGTCTATGGGGTCGCACAGAGTCGGACATGACTAAAGTGACTTAGCAGCAGCAGCAGTGAGGAACAAAATCACATTTTTGGAGAAGAGAGATGTAGATAGGGAAGTTACCCTAAAACATGTGTTACAATCATGTATGATGCTCCTAGCATAGGAGCTCAGGGATTGGTAATATTTCTGGTTGGCTTTTTTTTTTTTTTGTCTTGCCACTCGATTTGCGGAGTCTAAGTTTCATGACCAGGGATCAGACCTGGGTCCCTGGTAGTAGAAGTGCCGAGTTCTAACCCCTGGACCACCAGGGTATGTTAATTCTGAAACTGTTCTTAAGGGCCTATACCAGATGAATAGTGAGACTTAAAAATTAGTGTAATAATGATAAATTGTAGGTTAAATCTTCCACATCCTGGAGAGAGAGATTTTCCTGGAGAATTCTATGATCTGTGTAATATGCTGTAGTGGGAGTTGCTTTAAATCATACTTTTTCAGTATGTTTTGTTTTCCTACTTACGAGGTTTCTCTTTGCCCTTTTGGTCACTTACTGTCCTCATTTTTTTCCAGTTCTCAGATCTGACTCCTCATCAGAATAAAGACTAGAAGTAAAGCAGTCAGGAATGTACCATTTTAAACATACAAGTTAGATTCCACAGGCTCCTGGAGTTCCTGCTTCTTACCCTAAGAGTAACAGTGTTTCCTGTAATGGCTAGAGCTATCTCCCTCAGTGGGAAGCAGCAGGGATTATGTTTAAAGCAAGATGGTTTTTCTTGAGGCTATATGAACATTTTCTAACCTCTCTTCCATCTCTCTGCAGACAAATTCAGCATATGACCCTTCTCGGTGTTTTGCCTTTGTTCATGATCTGTGTGATGAAGATAAGAGTTACCCAATGCCTGAGAATAGTCTTGATGTTATCATCCTTATATTTGTTCTCTCAGCAGTCATTCCAGACAAGTAAGTTTTAAGTCCCTTGACTAGTAGCATAGCAAAAACAAAGCTTTAATCAGGGACCTTGATCTCAGAGTTGGAACCTTAATAAAAAGGATTTTATTAATGTTCTGATAGACAGGAAGAAGCTATATTTCATTATAAGATAGAAGCTTCTCAACTACTTTCCTAAGTTTGTTTTAGAGTCCATGTTGGACTCCAAGCGTCTAAACCTCTGCCTGTTAACTGCAGTGGTCGGTTCTTCTTATGATAATGGTTTAACATCTCCAAAGAATGAGGGAGTCATCTTAGTGGGTATGTAGTGAAATTTCCTGTTGATGATCACGTAGCCTGATATCTTAGAACTGTGAATGCCACAGCTATTCAAGAACATCCCATTATTAGCTTTTTAAATGCTTTAAATAAACCAGGCTTATTATCAGCACAAAATACACAGTGAAACTTAACTCATCAAGGGTTCTCTGATATTTAAGTTCTTTGGAAAACTTCTCTAGTAAGGAGAATTTCATAAAATCAAGATTAAAGGAAAGTGGATTGGTTTACCTTAAAAGATACCATTAAAGGCTTCTGGACATAGGCAGCCGGTCATCCCAGTGAAGTTGAAATACTGTCTTGAGGAAGCGGCATCAGTCGGGGTGCTTTGGGGGGTGGGGTGTGATTGATTTTCTCTAGCCCACATTTCCTCTAGGATAGCACTGTGTCACTTGACCTGATAGGAATATTGTGTGTGAAATAAGGGCAGATGGAGGACAGCCCAAACAGCCTGGCATGGTTTTAAACATTAATTGCAGCAGCTTACATGCTGTAAACTGTATATAGTTTCATTTACTTACATATTGGCTGCACTGGGTCTTCGCTGCTGCTCGTTCCGCAGAGCAGGGACTGCTCTGCAGTTGCGTATCCGGGCTTCTAATTGCAGTGACTTCTCTGGTTGCAGAACATGGGTTCTAGAGCACAGACTGAGTAGTTGTGGTGCGTGGGCTTGGATGCTTCACGGCATGTGGATCTTCCCGAACCAGGGATCAAACCCATGTCTCGTGCACTGGCAGGCGGATTCTTCACTGCTGAGCCACCAAGGAAGCCACCAAGTTTTAAACTGACATGGACTGAAACAAAACATTAAAATTAAAAACATTATTCAAAATAAATTCATTATTCAGTATTTAAATAGACTTTCATGTGGTTTTTGTAAGTTCAGAGCATTTATACTTTTTCAGTAGTTAAAGCTGAAGCCTACACTGAGACTCTATATATGGAAAATGCAGTCAGAAGTGTAGAACACTCTGCCCAGAGTACTCATTTGCATACAGATTGTGTCACCTGGTAAAGTTCTTGAGATTCAGTCCTCATGTAACAGGTGGAAAGAGACAGGCTGCATTCAGAGATCGTGGGCCTTGTGGGCAGGTAGGGTGGGTCAACTAGCAGTCCCCTCGCTGGGTGGTCAGGAGTCCTCTCAGAGATCCATGGGAGCCCAGTGTGGGGATGGCTTCCCCCTGAGGAGTGGGAAGTGAGCCAGGCAGAGAGCATGTAGCTTCCGCCAGAGTGGATCCCTACTCAAGGAGCAGGCCTCTTCATGCTGAAGGCAGTGGGTAGAAGCCACGGTTGTAAGCAAACAGCAGAAGGTACATCAAAGGTTTGGGCATGAGCTCAGGTTATAACTGAAACAAGAGCATAGGAGCTAAGATTTCAGGGGTGATGTATCAGTGTTAGGAAGTCCACTGGCTTTTCCAAATACAATACAGAGACAAGGGACCTGTTCTTTTTTGTGAGGGGTGTTAGGAGGGGACTCTGTTCTTAAAGAGATCTGATCTTCGTTCCCTGCTGCCCTTCAGGATGCAGAATGCTATCAACAGGCTGAGCAGGCTTCTGAAGCCGGGGGGGATAATGCTTCTGCGAGATTATGGTCGCTACGACATGGCTCAGCTTCGGTTTAAAAAAGGTATTTTTTCCCACTATAATCAAAACAATGGCTTTGCCATCAGAATAGTCTCACAAATTAGTGGAATAAGATAGAGACTCTGGAATTATATAGCTTCATACAGAGAGCCATTTAATACATGATAAGAATGGTATGTTTTAAGTGTGATATGGCAAAAGATGCCATTAAAAAGTTAAAAGACAAATGACAGATTGAGGACAAATATTTCAGTTAATAGAACAGTAAAGACTTAATATCTATGCTGTTCAAATAGGGCTGCTGGCAAATTGATAAGGGAAAAGACCAGTGACCCACCCGGAAAACAGATGAGAAGTGTTTTAGAGTTGATTTCCTGAAGAGTGTATCCAAATGGCCGAAAACAAAACTTCAAGAAAATGGAAACAGCAATGAGACACCTGTTGCTGGCTGACTCAGAGAGAGTGATGTTCCTCTCTGAAAGGCAGAAATAGGAATAGTTGCAGCCTTTTTTTTCTAAAGCACCTTGGTGTATCTATTCTATCCAACAATCCTTTGGGGATTTATTCAGGAACAAGCACATAGTATGTGTGTAATAAGCAAATCCTTGGAAACAAAGTGACTGCCTCTGCATAGGGTAATGCATTTTATCACACGGGGTGGACCCCATACCACTCGTCTCGTGGTGGGTGGACTTGGCTGTGTGACCAAGTGAGAAAAGCATTGTGCGGGTTGGTATTTTACACTTAATCCTGTGTTTAACAGTAGCTAAGGAAAAATAAGATTACTTTGACATTCAAAAGGTGTAGAAGGATTGATTACACATCAGGTTGTTAAACTGAGAAGGTCAGGGGGCCTTAGCAGCAGAAGGGGAAGTGTGTCCTCGATAAAAACAGTATGTATGGGATCCTATTTATGAGTGTGCATGTGGACACTGTGGAGAGACATGCAAAAGGACAGTCACTAAAATGGGAATAGTGGCTGTCTCAGATTTCCTTAAATTTAGCTATATTCCTTGAATTTTTACTATGTGTTTTTAAAGGGGCAGAAAGCCACTTAAAAGTTTGCTTTTGTTTTTAAACAAAGTGTATGTGTTATTTATTTAATGGGGGAGGGAGGGAGAAAACAAGCTATTTTCATCCTGAGCAGAACTGTAAAATTGGGGGCTGAGAATTACATGTGTTCACTGACACTGAAGTTTGATTATTCCCCTGGAGCTGTTCTTCTCCAAAGCATCATTCCTTTGTAGGAGAGAGACTGCAGATTGCTGCAAAGTACCAGGGTAGCTTAGAAAAGGATCTGTTCTCTGCCCAAGAAATTGACATCTTGATGCACATTTAATTGACCATGAAATTCACAGAAGTGCTTTAAAGTTTCTCTGGTCTCTACCACATCACTCTGCAGGTCAATGTCTGTCTGAAAATTTCTATGTGAGAGGCGATGGCACCAGAGTGTACTTCTTCACACAAGGTACGACACAAAAGCACTTGTCTTTGTGCTGACAGCTCCCCCAGGACTAACTTCCATATTCCTCAGTGTGCTTTCAGAAATGACATCATCTGGTCCCTCCAACCTTTTGCAGCCTCTTCCCTGCCCTTCCCCACCCCTCAGCCTACCTCCAGCCACCTAGAACTACTCAGTGTTCTCCCAGTAGGCTCAGCTTATATGAGCCTTTGGTCCCTGCCTTGTTCTTCTGCTGCCTCCTCTTTCTCTCCATCACTTTATCCAAAACAGGACACATGCTCATTTTGCAAGACTGCACTGTAGCTGTTTCAGCTTCGAAGCTGGGTTGTACCTTAGGTGCACCTGAGTTTAAGTGAACCCATGGCTCCCTGGGTTCCAGGTGTAACTCAGAGCTGCTTTCCTCGGCTGCTTGTCCTGCTGCCAGTTTTCACCTTCACCAGTGCCTTATGGATACTTTCTCCCTGGGCCTTCTGTCAGGTCACATACTTTTCTGAGCCTTTAGTGAGTGATGAAACCTCTCCCCTTAAAAAAAACAAAAAGAAATGGCTTTGACATAACATGTCAATTTTTGCATATGATTGTAAGATGTACATAGAACCCTAGAAAATTCTTTCCTATCAGCTGACTCTTAGAAAGTCTCTCCCGGTGCATTCCAGGCCACCTTTCACATGTGGTTTGCCTTCGTCTGCCTAAACGAGGACTTGCTGCTACGAAGCCACTATTGCAATTGTAGCTAAACCCTACTGCCCAAACCACTTAAAAGTCTATGAGGAAGGACAGCAGTCTCACAGAGTACCATTTAGCATGGGAAGTGGTAGACATGGTACTTCTTCAGGGGAAAAATATATAAACATCTCTTTCCAAACTAGATGAACTGGACACACTTTTCACTACTGCTGGACTGGAAAAGGTTCAGAACCTGGTGGATCGCCGGTTGCAAGTGAATCGAGGAAAACAACTGACAATGTACCGAGTTTGGATTCAGTGCAAGTATCGCAAGCCTCTTGTGTCTAGCACCAGCTGAGAGGCAGGCACCACCTGCTCCTGAATCATAGGCTCGTTGGGCTTTTTAAAATGAACATTCACAAATGGTGTCTTCTTGTTACTGAACCATTCAAGGATTCAAAACAGATTTGAACCTGGGAAGAATTATTTTATATCAAGAGTCTTAACTGTTTTGCTTCATATTTGTGAAGCCCTGTGATATACTTTTCTCAAGTTTTTTTCTTTTGTGGAGATCTCAAAGAATCTTTCTTGCCATTTTGTAACTTAATAATTGAAATGTTATTCATGGGAATCAGGAATTTATGTCCATGTGAAAGTATTATATGATAAAGTGAATGACTGAGTTGCATTAAATTATCTGAGGATTCAGATATGTGGACTAAGCAGTTGATGCATGGAAAGATGAATAAGAGTCTCACTCAGTGATCATCAAGGAAGCAAGCTGGGAAGAATTTCCTGTCTTTGGATGTTCTCCTGACTCAGAAAAACAGCATCAATATAGGGTGTCCCTGTTAAGTATTTGGTTGTGGTCTCTGCTTAACCTTAGATCCTTGGAATTTTAAGTACCGTTCTCCCCCCACCCCCTGCCCCCATCTTAAGTAACCTGTGTCTAAAAACATTAAAAAGATCTTCACTTTTAGCAAATTGTTTTGTGTGTGTGTGTGTTTGTGCTCTTACATTTTTGACGCAAAAGAAATTGGGAGAATTTTAGGCATTTCACTTCTGAATGTGATCCTTCCATCCCTGTTACTTTTTTAATGTGATTGCTACCCTCTCCCACCCCCTTGATTGACTTTTTTTCTTCTTTTTTAAAGAAAGTATTTATTTATTTGGCTGCTCTGGGTCTTAGTTGTGGCACACAGGATCTTCCGTCTTCATTGCAGCATGTAGGATCTTTTTTAGTTGCAACACGTGGGATCTAGTTCCCTGACTGGGGATCAAACCCAGGCCCCCTTCAGTGGAAGCACAGTCTTAACCACCAGACCACCAGGAAATTCTGCCCTGAATCGTTTTTAAGAGTAAGTTGAAGGATGATGTCCCAACACTACCGTGTATCTTATATACTATTTTATAATGTGTAGTTCCTGTAACTGAAGATATTCTCCTGTATCACCAAATATATCCATCAGAAGTAGAAATTAACATGGAAACACTGCCAGCCTCAGATAACCAAGTTTTCCCAATGGTCCCAATATCCTTTATCATCAAAAAAGAGAAAAGCCATTGTGTTGCATTTAGTAGTCATGTCTCGGTTTCCTTCAGCCTGGAACAATCCTTGAAGTTTGTTTTCATGACCTTGACATTTGAAGATTAAAGCCTTTGCAGACTGCCCTCAAATTGGGTTTGTTGATGCCTTCCTCATGATTTGGTTTTAGTTACGTATTGTTGGCAGGAATATCAGAAGTGTTGCTGTTGTGGTATGTGATTTTAAAGTATCTTAAATTGTTGATGTTCACTTCGATCACTTAACTGAAGTGGTGCCTGCTGGGTTTCTCCACCGAAAAGTTCCTAAGCAGTATTTTGTAAGGTGCTTTGAGACTAAATATCCCATTCCTCTTTAAACTTTACCCCATTGTTTAAGCATCTGTTGCTGTTTCTTAGCTAAATTTCTGTCATGATGGTAGCCAGGTAGTGTGTTTGAATCCCACATCCTTCCTACACTTTCTGGTTGGCATTCTGCTTAAGGAAGGCTTCCTTTTCTCTATTCATTTACTTACAGATTCATGGGTTTCTGTTTTACTCAGTGCTTATTATATATTGCTATCACTTTGATACTTTGTGATTTTTATGCGCATTGTCCCAGATTTGGCCTTTGGGAGCCCCTTCATGTGCTTCTGTGACCCTTTGTCATGTGCAAAAAGGAGGCAAAGACTCCACTTTTTAAGGTGCAGAGCACAAGACAGGAGCTGGGAAGATGGAATAAAAACTGTTTCTGTTGTAAATGCTTCAGAGATGCCGAAGGGAATCATTTAGTATATGTATTCTTCATTTCAAAGGACGGATGAACTACTATTCCAGCACTTCAAGCACACGTTGTTCCAGGCTCATCCTGTACCTTCTCTGTCTCAGTCTGAACCAGCCATGTCTCCCCAAGGAGTTCTAGTTTCATTTAGAAGAGCAGGGTGTTTAGAAACCAAGCTAAGGGTGCTCATTGCTATTGGGTGCCTGTTCCCTGGCCCCCTCAGTGGATGAAGCATAGGGATATGTGTATATATACATACTTGAATCTGTATTTCTCTACTTAAATATGTATTGAAAACCATCAGTTCAGACGAATACTTTTGATTCCAGTCCAGCACCACAGGATTTATTCTAGTTTTTATTTTGTCTCTGTACTTGTTCACTTTTCAATAGTCACCAATGCCCATAATCCTAAAAATAATGGGCTAATCCCCTCAGGAAAGTTATGATCAACCTAGACAGCATATTAAAAAGCAGAGACATTACTTTGCCAACAAAGGTCCGTCTAGTCAAGGCTATGGTTTTTCCAGTGGTCATGTGTGGATGTGAGAGTTGGACTGTGAAAAAAGATGAGTGCTGAACAATTGATGGTTTTGAACTGTGGTGTTGGAGAAGACTCTTGAGTCCCTTGGACTACAAGGAGATCCAACCTAAAGGAGATCAGTCCTGGGTGTTCATTGGAAGGACTGATGCTGAAGCTGAAACTCCAATACTTTGGCCACCTCATGTGAAGAGTTGACCCATTGGGAAAGACCCTGACGCTGGGAGGGATTGGGGGCAGGAGGAGAAGGGGACGACAGGATGAGATGGTTGGATGGCATCACCAACTCAATGGACATGAGTTTGAGTAAACTCCGGGAGTTTATGATGGACAGGGAGGCCTGGCGTGCTGTGATTCATGGGGTCGCAAAGAGTCACACACGACTGAGCAACTGAACTGAACTGAATCCCCTCACATATGACCATTTTTTATATGTCACCTATACCCAGCCAGCCAAGGGGGTGCCTCCAAAAAGGTTGTCATCCACATGGCAGTGATAGGACTCTCCGTGGAGGAGATTTTCTGCCATAGTGCTGGCTGGCATCAACACCACCACGACAAGCTGGTGGTGACAGATGCTGTGATTGAGAAATTTGCTCCAATGAAGAGGGAAACAAGATGAACAAGGACCACTTAGGGATGGTTTCTTAGGGTGTGTTGGAGAAAACCAAAGAATTAACATATCTATGTGCCAAGAAGTGAAAAAATTTGGTGGAGTTTCAGAAGTTTCAACTAGTTATAAAAGGGCTTTTATTTATTGTGGTCTGACACTTCAGTTAAGGCAATTTTTCTCACAAGAGAAAAATTATAGTTTGGAGACTATTTGGTACACCTGATCATTGGCTTTTAAAAATTTTTCTGGCTCAGATGTTAAAGAATCCACCTGCAATGCAGGAGACCCGGGTTTGATCCCTGGGTCAGGAAGATCCCCTGCAGAAGGAAATGGCTGCTCACTCCAGTATTCTTGCCTGGAAAATTCCGTGGACAGAAGGAGCCTGGCAGGCTACAGTCTGTGGGGTTGCAAAGAGTCAGACACGACTGAGTGACTATTTCCTTTCCTTTTATTTTTGGCTGTGCTGGGTCTTCATTCCTGTGCGGGCTTTCTGTCTAGTACCAGCAGGCAGGGGCTATTTTCTAGTGGTGCACAGGCTTACGGTGATGGCTTCTCTTGTGGAGCACAGGCTCCAGGCTGCAGGGGCTTCAGTAGTTGTGGCACCTGAGCTCTAGAGCACAGGCTCAATAGTTGTGGTGCAGAGGCTTAGTTACTCCATGGCATGTGGAGTCTTCCCAGATCAGTGATCAAACGTGTGTCTCGCGTTGGCAGGCGGATTCTTTACCACTGAGCCACCAGGGAAGCCCAGAAACAGGTTTTATTCCCTTATCCTAGTACCTGCCTATGCTTTGAGTTTAGGTGTATGAAAGTTGAGCCTTCATCTTTCCTTCCTACCCACCCCCGCATCCCTTTACAACTTAGCCATATGCCAAGCTCTCTTTTTATCTGTCAAGCTAACTTGAACTCTGTAAGGGACTTTGCATAATTTTTCAGCCTTGGAATCACTAATGAGGGGCAGTAGACAATTAAACATGATCAGGGTAGATTAAAGTATGACCTCAGTGCCACTCAGAAAAACACAGGCTGCCTGGGCTTTCAGTCTGACTCTCTTGACCCTCTTCAGGCAAGAAAAGTGCTGTGTTGGCTGGGAAGGTAGCTCCACATATGAAACTGCTCAGGAAGTTGTGTGGTTTACATTCGAATCTAGCAGAGTAGTGTTTCTGAAACTCACTGATCTTTCTAAGTAATGTTAATTTGGCTGAGGAGACAGATTCAACATTGTTTTAAAAAAGAGGGACAGTTTAATTTGAGATGGGTGCACCAGAGCTATCAGAGAGGAGCTGTGTTCCTGGCGGCATGGCCCAGGGTCAGGTTGTGACACTATTCCTTGGAGACCTTGGGTTCTTATGGCTCAGAAGTGATTCATCTCCTGATTGTGCGTGCTTCATCTTGAACCTGGCCTTTGCTGATGCTGTCAAACCTATTGCTTTGCAATGGGTCCACTGCCTGCCTTCACGTGAGTTCATACTCTCCTGGGCTCTGACTGAGAAATTAGGACCTTGGAAACTTAGCAGGAAAAGGAAAATCTAATGTGCTAGGACATACTACTTTCCTCGAATTGATTCCTATCTTTGATTAAAGGTGTTACTTTAGTAGTGGGGGGGCACTTTTATCTGTGACTTAAAAGATGGACTCAGGACTAACAGCTTCTTTCACTCCGTTCACAAAGTCCTGTTCTTTGGTTTGTGGCTGCAGCTGCTATTTTCAGAGCTGAGTTGCATTGATGCGTTGCACATTTTTATATGCTTCTTAATTCGGTGTGCAGGTTGATTTGGGAACCTGGGTGGAGGGGTGGGAGGAGTGCTGGTGATAAATTTTGCCAGTGAAAAAGCCGAAATGGTGCGTCACGGCTACTTCTCTATTCCATTGAATTTCTAAGGTTCAAGATTGGGTATGGATTGTC